GGCACTGCCTGTCGTGCCTTACCTCGTCCAGGTACCTTTCAGTCTCGCTGCCTGCCCGCCAGCTCAGGGAAGGGCACTTTGGCTACACTCCCCGACGGCACGATTCGACGAGGCACCTTGCATTCACCCTCCCCCTCCGTACCACGACCTTGCCGTTCTCATCAGGTCGCCCACTTCTCCCCGTCCATCCATCATCTGTCTATCCTATCCGTACCATACTGCGTACCTACCTTCCCATAGGTATACCTTACCACACGACGTCTTTGCGAACTCCAACCAACCATCCATTATCTTCCCTCCTTCACCACCCTACGCGCGCATCTCCACCGGCGACAGCCTTCAGATTCTGCGCCCACACATCTTCTTTGCGTCTCGCCGCCTTGTTCACCTTGACGCGGGCTTTTCAACAGCTCCATTTCATATCATACAGAGGCCGCAGGAAACACTTCATTTATTCCTCGCCGCGCGGAAATCAAGAAGGAAAATTCGGCAACCTTTCGCCACACGCTTCTCCTCCTCACATCTTACAAAGCTGCTGCACACAGGCCCTCTCGCCAAAGAACCTACCTACCCGTCGCGCCCCGGGCCCCAAGGACACAGACCCTATCCCATACTCTATTGAGTTCTACGGCTTGGTTGTACCGGCGCTGCAACTCAACTCTTGCATTTCCATCTAGAATTCAGAGTTTCCTTAGCCATACGCCCCCTTAACCCTCTTATTCCTGTCCTGCAGTACAGAAGAGCGAACAAAAGGCAAGAAAAAAGCTTCTATTTCGATTTCTTCTCAGGCCGCTCCCCCTACCCGTTGTTACTCGACATACTTTTCCGCCAGGGACATTTCAGAGCTTCGCGCCAACCACATGCACGCATAAGCCTGCCCTGCATTACCCAACGCACCCTCCCCAGACCCAGTGTCGCCCTCGCCCGCGACCCGGCCGGAAGGCAATCCAACTATATCAAGACACGTCTTTCGTTGTCCTGATCTTGTCTTGACGAATCTACCGGGAGACGTTTGCGCGCTCAATGTACTCCACTCAGCCGAACGGAGCTGATAGTGCGACAATCAACCCGGCTGCCCTCAACTCTCCTGGTATGTTGCTTATTTCGCTATCCAGCGCCCCCCTCCCCAGTTTCAACACCCCCGCCTCCACCCAGCCTGCTCGCTAGCCGTCATCGCATTCCACTGTGAGGCCCTGGCCGGATTAGCAACCATTTCTCCATGCGCAACTACCACTTGCGCGCCCCCCTTCGCCTGTTTGAGCCATGGCTATGACCTTTCTTAACACAACTGTCCTGCCATAACATTATGCTGACGGCTTTGATCATCGTATAGACCTGCTCAACGCAAGCACTCGCGGCATCAAAAGAAGCCGCTCCCCGGACAACTTCCAGGGAAACCCACCTACAGGTATTACCGGTATGTCCTTCCCATCCAAAAACTCATTCTTCCCCATCATGCCTATACTGTTCAGCAGTCGCGCGTGTAACCTTTTGCTTCTTTCCCCGCCGCGCGCAACGCGATACAAGCTAACACTGGTGTCTCTATAGGTGACTCCAACCCGAGAAAACGTGGAAAGTCATCCAAGTCGTCCAGATCATCCGGTGCCATCTCCGAGACTGCCGGTCAGGCCCCAGTAGCCAACATGCCTCAAAATATCCCACCACCACAAACCCCCCAGAACCAGAGCGCGCCGCTGCCTGGGGGTCAGGCCGTCAATTACGCGCCCACGCAGGCCTCACCTCCGCCCAAGACGACGCCAACAAAGACTACCTTGAAAGCTCTTCCTACAGTTAGAGATCACACCACTGATCAGCTGAATCCCGCCGGCGACGAGTATCTCCCGAGAGAAATCGATGAGTTCGGAGAGAAGAAGGTGATGCCCAATGGCCAGTTGCTGGGCGGCCGCGAATACAGATGCCGAACCTTCCTGGTTCCCAACCGGGGGGATAAGCTCTTCATGCTTGCAACCGAGTGCGCGAGGGTTCTGGGATACCGTGATTCGTATCTTCTATTCAACAAGAATCGGTCGCTCTTCAAGATTATTGCCAGTCAACCCGAGAAGGACGACCTCGTCAGCCAGGAGATCCTGCCGTTTTCATACAGATCGAGGCAAATTGCCATTGTCACCGCCCGATCCATGTTCCGCCAGTTTGGAAGCCGTGTCATTGTCAATGGTAGAAGAGTTCGGGACGACTACTGGGAGACAAAGGCCCGTAAACAAGGATTCACAGAGGCCGATCCCGCTGGCGAAAAGCGTCCGGGAGCAGCCAAGGCCAGAGAGGCTGCGGCTGAGGCGCAGAACCAGGTCCTGCTGGGCGGCCCCCACGGTGAGATCGTTTACAGCAACACACCCAGCCAATTCCCCGGCGCCCCTCAACCCCAAATCGTCCAACCAGGTATGCTTGGAGCGCCAACCGGAACCACGACCAGAATGCCCGTGATAACACTAGGATCAGAGCTCAGTGACAATCGTCCTCGCGACTACAGCGGAATTCTCAAGGGTGGTCCACGTCAGGAAATTACCGGCCCGGCTTACCAGGACCAAACTCGACCTGCTCAGATTGGAGAAGTTCATGCCCAGGCCCACCACGCCGCCGAGTACAACCGGTCTCTCAACCAGCAACGAGAGATGCGCGGCGACTACCTCCAGGGTATTTGGAGAAGGCCGCATGAGCAGCCTCAGTCAGCCAACCTCGTCCAGAACGTTGCCACTAGCGAAGCGGCTGTGCCTACTACCCGAGCAACACAGTCGCCGCATACTACGGCGAGCAATATGCCACCGCAGTCAGGCATCGTGCCCAACCAAAGCCCCCAAATGATGATGACGGCCCCACCTTACTCTCAATCTATCCATGCGCAGAATCCAATCAGCCAGGCTCCGATGAGAGGTATGGCTCAACCGTCTACCCAGAAAAACAACAAGCCAACGACTTTGCCTGCAGCCGGGAGCGCGAGCAGCATGCCTCAGGGTGCTCAGGGCTACCACTACCCCGGGACTGGCCAAATGTGGCCCCAGACGCAGCAGAATCCTCAACAACACAACTACTCTGGGTACACGACACAGGGCCAGCAACCCCATCAGCAGTCGCCAGCTCCCCAACTACGGCATGCGACCAGCGGCGTGCAGCCGGGGATGCAGTTTTCGGGAATGCCAGGCATGGGACAGAGTTACGGTGCCACCGGACAGGGAATCTACCCGACAGACCAAACTCCGCGCCAGTACATGCCCCAGCCGAACCAGGGATCTCCGGCCGTGACGCAGGCCTGGTCCAACCAGCAAACGCCAGCTCAGTGGTGGTCGAGCCAACCTCAATGAAGATCGGAGAAAAGAGTCGAAACACGATGACTCCGTTCAACTCGCAAATTCGCTTCTACAACAAACAGCGTTGTGCCAACTACACTTTTTTGTCCCTTTCATATATATAGGTGGCGGTTACTCCCTGGCTTTCGCCGGTTTGGCAGCCTTGCTGCCCTTCTGAAGGATACCCAAGCATACAGTTCGGTGGAGGCTATGTGCTTTTGGGCTGCGGGCCTGTCAGTCTTCGTACAGCATTTTGGCCGAGAAGGATGGATAGAGGAGTAGTGGGGAACCAGGAACACATGGGCTCAGGTCCTGGGCGGAGGGAAGGGTCTTTTTCACTGTAACGCGTCTCTATTCGTGATTTAGTCAAACTTCTTTTTGGCATCTTAGGGAGGATGCATTGTTTCTTTTCCGTTGATCATTGTTGGATTCGGTTCTCTCATCCTCATCATCACCCATGGACACTTTTTTTCTGTTTCGATTGTTTCTGATTTCTTTCGCCGTTGGCACACGGGAACCTCCGACTTCAGTTTGATACCATCGCCGTCCACCATCACCGATTCGCTTCGCTTTACGCGCTGTCTTAGTTAGTCCTTCTCATCCTCTCGAATACACGATACCACACGAACACCACATTCACGCGTCCCCGTCACCGCGCAACTGAACACACATTACTCAGCCACGTTTGCCGCGGCAATGTTGACGACTATGGCGATTTTGAGCCTCATCACTCAGCAGCCGTCGATTGAGGGGAGGTGTAGCCACGAAGCCATGCACATTGTCATTTCTTAGGGATCCTTTGGTGCCTAAGCTTTCAAGCTTAAGACCAAGCTCATGTCTCACGACGAATGACACTTGTGTTGTGGTGTGTTCTGATATCGACATGGCCCGTGAGGTATAACCGGGCGCCTCTCTGACAGGGAGTCAAGGGCATCACGAAAGCGAAGAACCATGAGAGACAAGTCACAATATGGTTTTAAGGTTTACCCCCAATTCAGGGTGCATCCTTTTTCGAAGACAGCGAAAACCATTTGGGTCCTGGAGGGCGCACTTGACATGGGCGAGGACCCTTTTCAGTCTGCACGTCGGCGGTCAAATTATTTTGGCCTTGTTTTATCTTTGTGTCGGCCGATACGGCAGCATCGAAGGAGTTGTATATTGCTTGGGTGAAACTCGATATTGGTTGTCATGTTTTGGTTACCAGGAACCCGGGAAGCGCCATGATCCGGCATCGGGGTGGGATTTGTTTCGTTTCTTCCGCGGCAGTGGCAGGGAGGCTTCTTTGGGATTGCATGAGGGCCGTGTCGATCGAACACCTGTGGCTCGTGTTTTTTTTTTTTGGTCTTTTTTGTTTCTTGATTGTACAACTCGATTCACGACTTGATGGACGGTGCGGACACGAGTTAAGATGGTGGTTGTTTGGAGACACGTTTGGAGGACCGTTAGTCTTGGGTTTTTTTTTTCGATGTCTTCTCTTGAATGCAAATACGTTTTCCTTTCCAAACATTGCGCCCCAACGTTACTGACTACCTGATATGTCCATGCCTGCAGGTTTGTTTCCCTCTCTCTCTCTCAGTTGGGACAACTATTTAAAGCATGGACGAGGGTGACCGGTAACAGCGTGCCCCGGAGGATGCATGTGCCATCTGGTCGTCACTTTGAGTTTCTCCATGGTAGAAGAGGCTCGTTATCGGGACGAAGACCGGCATGTTGTGAGACAAGGGTCTGTGTACTCTTCTCAATCCATCAATACTGCAGGTGCAGCGGCAGGTTTTGGAAACTGTGTCTGATCTTTTCTGCGATGCCCTCCTAGGCTGACCCCCCTGACGAACGGACTATTGCCGCTTTACCACCATTGTATTTTCACAGTTGTCAGGTTCCTTTCCCCGTCCACCCCTCCTCTCCCTCGCCTCTGTCGACCGGGTCCCACGGAAAGATGGTTCAAGGTGATGGAAGAAGGTTAACCGACTAATGTGATGTGGGATGTTTTGGGACGTTTTGTGATGGACGTCTGTGGTGGACGGATGTTGTAGCTTGTCTCTTTGTCTCTCACTGTTTTTGTTTCTCACGTGCCTTCAAGCCGAGCACCCCTCCCCCTTTTCCAACTCTCTCGGCCGAGGGAATAGAGCATTAGAAGCCGAAGCCAAAGGTACTCTTCCACCTTTACGTCCTTTCCCTCCCCACCCTTCCCCGTTTTCGTGATGAAGCTTGGGTTTGCTTTGGGTAACTAGTTCGGACTCTTTCAAGGGTGGTGGGAGAGAGAGATGGAGGAGGATGAGAGGAGGCGGAGGAGGAGGACGCGGGGAGGGACAGGGTGCCGGGATGAGTGGTACACTGTTCTCAATGTGCTCTTACACCACGGTTCACCCTCGTTAGTCTTGCTCTGTGGTTGGATTATGGGAATGTGTCTATCGGGACTGACTCTTGGATGACTTTGTTTTCCCCCGAAATCGGAGGGGAGGCGGATGGTCACCGAGACTTGTTCACCATTCAGTTCAAGATGACTCCTAAAGAGTAATTGCGTGGCTTTGTTGGACAAGGGGTGGTACAAACTGCCGACTCGAGGTGCCGAAGGGATGGATTACTCTTTTTCTTCTTCACAATACTCTTGAATAAGGGGGAGAAAAAAAATCAAAAGAGAAGGAGAAGCTTGAAAAGTCTTTGATAGAGTTCTACTCTCCCCTTGGAAACTGGAGTAGAAGAAGAGGTCTTTTGGAGCATACTCTGTTTGGGGTGGGAAAAAGGTAGGAAAGAATACGCGATTAGGAAAAAGAAACTACTGCCCGGGGAGGAGATTTCTGAGAAGAGAGTGTGTGGGAGGGTATAATGAGAGTTGACGATACCGAATATGCGGCTCCTCGGGCGGAAGTAAAAGGTTGTTGGAGCGTTGAGTTGAGTTGGGGAGGTGTGTGAAAGAGTGCGAGTGTAGAGACGGAGAGGTACCTTGAACAGGGAGGACAGGGAAGAGAGGGGGGGAGGGAGGTGTGATGAAAGGAGGAATGGAGAGAACCGCGTCTTCGGGACTTTCGGGGAGGATAAGATGAAGAAAAAGAAAAAAAAAACCTGGAGAAGGACCGTCGGCGATGGGTGTCTCGTGAAAGCGCCGCGCCGTCATGGTGTGTGTAGATGTCTTCCTCGGAACCCTTGTGCACCGCCAAGTGGGATTAGTGAAGAGAAAACGCGGAGCGCGTTGAGAGGGTGGGTTGAGACCCAGAGATCCGGAGTGGGAAGAAGCAAAGGGGTGTCGCGAGAGAGAGGGGGGGAGAGAGATGGGAGGATCTATGATGAAGGGCGTTTGATAGAAAGGCGGTGGTGTGTAGTGGTGGTGGTGGTGATGATGGGCGATGATGACTTGTGCAGGCCGACTTGATGGGAGTGTGAGTTGAGTGGCAAGGCTGAAGATGAGATCACCGCCCCCGGAGAAAGCCTCGTTCGGACCCGAGCTGCCTTGTCTTGCCTGCCTCCCCATTATCCAGTCGGCCGCCTCCGAAGTTGCGATAGGTCCTACTATGTGACTACAAGTGCACGAGGTTTATGTCTGCTTGTCCTGCTTTCCCGTTTCGTCTCGTCTTTGTGGGGGCAGATATGGAGCTTTCCCTTGTCTTATTACCGTCTCTCACCCTCCCCCTTCTTCCCTTCCTGTGCGTGAGGAGAATGGACGGACTAGATAAAGATGGGCCAGCGATGAACGGGGCTGGGGGTTGTACCGGAGGAACTGTTGGGGATGGAAAAAGGGCACCATCCATCAAAACACCAAGATAGGAAATGTTGAAGAAGGCGTTGGCGGGAGAGGGGAGAAACAGCTTAATAGGAGGCCAAAACAGAAAAGATGGGATTATTAGGTCTTGGTTTGTAAGCGGTCATTCATGTACGGGCGTCTGTGTGTAAGGAAATGTGCGTGTGATCCAAGCATTGTACAGTGATTAGAAAATGTTTGTATTGGGATTTCCTATTTTACTCTTCTTGCATGTCATCCGAAGAGACAGGGTACTCACTGTTTTTTTTTTTTTCTCTTTTGCCTTGAGGTGTAGGACTTCACGTGTTTTACAGTCGGCGTTTGCAGCCTCTATATTTGCTAACATCTGCCATGGCGCGATCATGACGCTGACATAGGCTTTTTGATCGAGGCTGCCGTAAGGCCAAAACTGCGAATACGATCAAGGGCCGCTCGCACGTGCAATCTATAGCCAGTGAAAACCCCCAAAATTATAAACCTTTTGGTGGGTTTAGGTTCCGTATTCGCTCAGTATTGGCCGTGACCTCTTCTATTCTTGGTATTTTGTTGACATCATGACTATTTCTTCTTTTCTACGCAGATACTACAACCTTATGGTCATTCTGTACGGTCGATCGTCGCTTTCGTAAAGAGCTTACGGTGGGGTGGCGTAGTTCGATATACGCTTGATTGTCGTTCGTCTAAATGGGATAAGGCTAAAATCGTGAGATGTAGTGAACCCGGGTAGGGCTGGATCGTGTTTTCATAGAAAGGTTATCTTCAAAGATAATGAACCTATCCGCATGTAGGTTCGTAGGTTCGTGGCAGACCTCAAGAGTGTAGTTGTCTTCCCGTCCAAATGAACCGTAATCTCGGGGGTAGTAAGCGGCGCGTCTCCGAGGGCGAGGGGGCCGGGCTGTCGCGATATGTCTTTCGCCGGCTCTTACGAAGAGACCGAGTTTTCAAGCCAAGCCGACAAGCCAATAGCACTGTCACCAACGCGAATGTGACTAAAGAAGGAGAATCAAGATCATATCCTCTTCAGTGGCGTATTCGCACGAAACACATGTGTATTATCAAAAAATTAACCATTCGCATTGCTTTCCTTCCATGACCCAAAACCGGGGTTTGATAGTCCCCGTTACAGCCCATTCTTTTTGCCTTCATCACGCTAGGTAACCTCACAACCCCCCTAAACGTTCAATCTCTCATCGTCACCCCCGAAATAGGAGATTCACAACGAGACTTAGTCGCTCTCGTCCCCGTCGAGCGCCTCATCGACGTCACTGCCCTCGCCCTCCTTCGTCTCCAACGCATCGTGCATCTCCTCACTGCTGCCTTCCTCCTCCTCTTCATCATCTTCTTCTTCCTCCTCCTCGTCTGCCTCTTCGTCTTCCTCTTCTTCAGCCTCCTCCTCGGGCTCCGTCTCCGCGTCATCGGCCTCTTCGTCAACGGTCATCGCTGAGTCGTCCACACGGGCCTTCTTTGAGCGAGGGGCTGTGTCTGTGGATGCTACGGTCATGACGCTGTCGTCGGGGTTGGAGAGGAGGGATACATCTGCTGATGTTGTGCCTGCTGCCCCGGCACCGCCCTTCTTGGCGGCGACCTTGTTGCGGTAGTTTGTGCGTTTAGCGTTTTGGATTTGGGTATATTCTGAGGTTGCAGTCAGTCGTGTTTTTTTTTCTTAGTGTAAATGTGAGACCGAGATTTATGACCTGTAAAGGCGATCTTTGGTGGTGACATCGAGAAGACAATAGATAGGGTAAACTCACTTGCAAACTCCTGCTCTAAGGGCTCTCGCAGGAAACCAAACTCGATATCATCCAGAGCCTTGAACACGTCTTCGGCGCTCACAGTCTTTTTGCCGGCATTTGTTGTGATCTCATTGGCACTAAGATTCACGATGCGAGTTAGCTTCACCTATACTGAACAAAGGTGGCCTCTGCTCCTGGGTGACATTGCTGCCCGTTTGGACAAAGAATCTCAGAGGGATGCAAGAGTGGTTTGACGCACTGAGAAGCTAGGTAGTTGATGAACACCGTCGCGCTCTTGCCCATGGCTAAAACGGCATTGGCCTGAATCTGAGTCTGGGGCGGTAGGACACCCTTTGCCAGCCTCGTGATGATAGACTTGGGCAAGCTGAGATCCTACAGGTTACATGATAATTAGCCAAGCCCAGCAGGATGTTTGCAGCATCACACGAGTTTCCCCCTTACCTCGATAGTGAGAGCGTCCCTATCCGCCTTGGCCATCTTGTCATGGGTTTGGCTCTCCTTCTTCTCAGTCGTCGCTGGCGTCGACTTGGCAGCCGCCGCCGCAGCAGCAGAGTCAGGCGTCGGCGCGGGCACACTGGACGGCGTCGCCGAGGAGGTGAGCTTGGCCGCCGATGCTGACGACGGGGTGCCGGCAGCGGCAGCGGCAGCAGGTGCCGCCGCGGGCTTGGCCGGCGTGGTGGAGGCAGAGGGTTCCTCGTCCATGACGATGAAGCGGGCGTTGGACACGTCGCTTCTCCGGCTCGCGTCGCTTTTGCGCGGAGGCATGATTTGTGAGAGCGAGTGGGAAGGTCGAGGGTCGAGAACTGAGTCGGGTAATGAGGTAGCGGGTGCTAGGAGGGATTTATTGTGGAGAAGAATGTGAGGAAATGGAGTTGTATCCCGTACTCCGTACACGACCCCTAGACGCTTTTTCTTGAGCTTGGTTCTCTCAAGGTCTGCTTCTTTCCCATGGATCTGCGTGGGTTTGATGGAGAAGTAAGTAGTTCTATACTTCTGTGGACTCGAGAGCTGATTGTTCTATCGTTTTTTGTCGGCTGCGTGTCGAGGAGTTGAAGTTTTTCGTGTGCAGGGAAGATGCGATAAGCCCCTCGGGATGAGCCGTAGTCTACGGCTTTGGGTAGATGAACCAGGAGGAAGCTTGAGCTCGCAAAGCTGCTGCAAACGGGCCAATTGAGACTTCTGAAGTGGCTGAAAGACCCCTTCACTATCGCAGACGAGATTGAATCAATGCCTTTCGAGAATCTAGCAGCGGTTCTCGAAGCGGTGGGCAGGACAACGAGTGGTTGAGGTGCGCTGTCGTCGTTGGCCAGCGCGTCTTGCGCTCTAGTGGACGCGACCTGGTCCCACTTTTAAGGGTGGACGCGTTAAGTGCATCTGTCATTCTCTCATCTCAATGCTTTATTTACTCACTCACCGTTCTCATCCAAAGCTCTCTCTCATTTCGTCCACCTACTCATTGTACTTACTCATTTACTCATTAACGCACCATAAACGATAATTGGTCTCATTATTTCAAAGGCACCGACTCTTTTGAAAATCAGCTTTATACATCATCTTGAGCATTGACAGACTTTCACCATGAAAGAGCGCAGCAGATACAACTCTGAAATTCATCCTCACTTATGCACCCATCCAAGCTGGCGAGGGCTTTCCAATATCAATTAACATAAGTTCATACGCACTTTTCATACGTACCTCTTTAGTACAAGAGTAATCTACAAGAACAAACGAAATCTTCTCACAAAATCCAATTTTGGATTTCTTCGATAACAAGGCACTTGGGGCGGCACGAACAAGATCTTCCTCACACACATCCGTCACATGAGCGTCGACCTGCCAACGATATTTAATGGTACTCAAGCATATCATCGTCCATCCCCATCCCAGCTATCAACATATATCCCAACAGCTCCAAGATCGCAGGCCATCTCGCATCTTCCCCCGACCCTCCTGTTTACACCTCCCGTAACCCCGTCCCCGATTCGCCGTCCCATGACCCGGAATCCTTCGTCTCCTCATCCTCTAGGTATCTATCTCTCCCACTCCCTCTCTCCTTCCGAGAACCTGGGAATATAGAACTCACACACCCCAAAATTGAAGATTTGCCTTCATCCATCTCCCCTGCTACTATGTCTCCCCCTCCCCCGCAAGCATCCGAATTTAAATCGTGAACCCGCAGGTATGACACAACGAAGACGCGCGCGCGCGCGGAGACAAGAGTCCAGAACTACAACGCCGAGGGAACTACACTCGAAACGTCATGACAGATGTCAAAAGACCCAGAAGGAAGAGATGAAAAGTAAGCAACATCCGAGGGAAGAGGTGTCCACCAGCCCCCAATAATTCCGAGATGGACAGCTTTTCCGAACGAATGAGATCCCCATCGCGACGAGGAAAAAACGTACGAAGAGAGGAAGAGGAAATGACAAAGTGTTCGATCTCGACTGGTATGTGCCCGTTCTGGATAATGATGAACCGACAAATACATACGCCACAGCCTCTTCAAGACCCATCCGTACCTCCGAGTTGAGAGTGGCATTAATACCATACAAGTTGTGACGAGAAAAAGAGGCATCTAAGCGTATGTGTCTAAATGCGAAGACACCACTCAAAAGTCAAAGACCAGGTCGTTCACCTAACAATGCCATATCCACGACACACACACACCTTTCTTTTCCCGTGTTTTCCTTCCCTCGCCTCTTCCTCCCACCGCTTCGCACCGTCCCCGATGCCCAACTTTTTGCACACCCACTCCTCCGGCGGGGAAGAAAGGCATCGCGTTTCACCTGTCCCGCCTGCCATCGTGGCCCGTCATCCTGGGATGGCAGGTGTCGCAATGTGGCCAACGCCATGATGATGAGGGGAGGGGGGGGGATGATACACGGCAAAGCAAAAAAGAGGGAAAACAAGAACACGACACCAGAGTGTCATCGAAACCTTGGCTGCGAAATCTTGCTTTTCTCCTCCATCGCCCTTAACCCCCCTTCCGTTCCCGCCCGTCAGTGATGTGCCGGTGAGCATATTTGTGTTTAATGGCCCCTTTCTCCCTTCTTCCAATATGCTGAGGTGGGAGGAGCACACAACCCCATGCTCCCTGTTCCGCGTTTCACCAGCGATTCTTGGGGAACTTTTGGTGTTGTCGGGCTGTCAGCAGCGTGCTTCGACGTGAGGGTTGCCGCCTCAACATGGGATGAATGAGCGCTCACCCGCGCGCGCTCTGCTCTACCGTTCGCGCAGGCAAAAAGCTTCCCTTCTTTGCAGTGTGACAAGTGACAACCTATTCGTTGTAGACTTCCATACTGCAAGGAAAATCGGCGCTATTGAGGCTAAGAGTCGACATTGCCACCGACCCGATTCACCTTGAGTCGATACACATCACGCAAAGCACGTTGAGATCTAGTTTGTAGCACTTGATATATGGCTTTTATTTGAATTTGTTTCGGGGCCAAGTTTAGTTGCCCAGCGAAGTATTTAGAGACTTGATATAGAAAATGGCTGCGTTGCAGCTGTAAAGTAGACTGTTTGTCATGTGGGTATATCCATCACCATTTCATAATGTGGTGTTCCGTCGTTAGTGACTCCAACGAACCACCTTTAAAGGGGAAAAAAAAAAGATGTCGTTTCAGACATCGAAGCTTCTTGCCGAACATGGCAATTGTGAAGCGATATAATGCTCGCTCAATCAAGAGGAACATCAGAGGAGAGTTGGGTCGCATCAAATGCGTCCGCCGAGTCTTCCGCGCCACTACAAAGAGGGCATCGCGAAGAAAGCTCGAAGAGTGATGGTGGCGGGGAGGATTGAAGAGCCGTGAATTTCCATTCTGAGTTTGATACGGCTGGCCTCACCCACCACCCTCGTGATGGTGTTAAGCCACATGAGAGTTGAGATATGCTGCCATCCATCGGGACATGAAACAAAAGTCCCATGGGATAGCACACCCCGCACTTTCTCCAGTCCCGCGGGAAGAGCGCAAGGGCTGAAACGAATGTCGTAGTCTAGCGTGTGGCGTGCTCCTGTCATCCGCAGGGTTTGTTTTAACGGATTTCTTGCAATATTCGTAAAAGTTGGTTGTAAGACAAGGCGCGGCGTTAGAGACGTCCCCTCGGCCGGCGTAGAATCGTAAACTGTATCTTCAGCCTACGGCGAGACCAATTTCTGATTGACGTAGGAAAGGGCGTGGGGAGAGGCCACCCATGTGATACTCCTCATCGAGTGAAAGTCTCGGAGGGTTTGAGGGAGACGAGTAAACGCGCTGGTGCTTCCCATCCGAGTGTGCCGAAGAAGGCATCCGGAAGTAAGGGTCCACCGAAGGGCGGGGGGACAGTTCTGTGTCGGTGTGGTAACCGTACCAGTGCTCACGCAGGCTACCGACACTCGCGCTGCTGCGAGAGCTGCGGTGTCTGCCATGACGAGGAGACGGCAACTTGGATAGTCTGGAATTCTGTCGCTTGGGAGATGGGAGGAAGGCGAGGTCACCCTCAACGGCGTCGTCAGTGAGACCAACTCGGGCATTTGGGGCTCGTGCGAGAACAGGAGTTTGAGGGATATCAATGCTCTTCTTGTCCATGCTCCGCTTGTGATACAGAGAGCGTGGTGCCGTATCCGTAGAAGGACGTGGCTGGTGCTGGTTGTGATTCTGGTAGACAATCACGCTGGCTGGCTTGCGAATAGAACCAGCCGAGTCATGTTTGTCCACGACGACGGTAGTACATTTCTCGATTGTCCGGCAGGCCTTCCAAGACTCGATCTCCTCGTCGTCAATCGGGCTGTTACCCCGGCGGCTGAATGGGAGGCGGCCACGGCGGTAACGGTAGCAGAGAAAGATGGCTCCGATAATGATGATCACTCCCAGCACAGAGAGTACAGTGCTGAGAGCAACAACAAGGCCGCGGTTGCCCTCAATACCCTGCGACTTGCTTCCGTTCATGGCGCCGTGCTGGTCCGTCAAAGAGGTCGAGCTTGGTGCAGCTGGCGCCGGTAGGTTTGGGGGTCTGCTGCCAGCATCAGTCGGCTGAGCAGGTGGCGGCAAGGTGGTCAGTGGAGTTGAGGTTGGCGGCGGAGCTATAACGATAACAGATGCCGTTGAACTTGACTGAGGAAGCTTGGGCGTTGAACTGGGTCGTGGAAACGGCTGAGGAAAGTTGGGTGGTGGTGCACTCGGCTGGGAAAAGACCGGTGGAGGAAACGAGCGAACTGGGGTTGGAGAAGACGAGACTGATGGCACCGGAGGTCGCGAAGTTGAGACTACGGGACTAGAGCGCGGCGTTGCCGTTGACCTTCGAGTCTCGACTGAGGTGGTCGGCGCCGGGGGAGGCGGAGGCGGTGATGCGGTGGTCTCCGGGGGTGGGGGCGGAGGAGCAGGCGCTTCTGGAGGCGGCGGTGGCGGCGGTTCCTCTGGAGGAGGAGGGGGTGGAGGGGGCTCCTGATTTGGAGGGTTTTCCGAGGGGGGAGGAGGCGGCGGTTCCTCGTTATGAGGAGGCGCTGGAAGATGGTGTTAGCTTTTTGTCCATTTTATATGCAAGTCATATGAGAGTGAAACGCAAAGGAAATGTCCAAAGGTATCCAAAGGGTCAGTCTGTTGAGGCAAGGCGGGGCTCGGATGAGATTGTCGGTGTGATGAAAACGGCAGAGTGAAGGCATCGCAGACTGAGTGTTCAGTGCTAGGGTTGAGCCAGGTCACACCTCCATTGTTGGGATTGTTTGGATCCCCATTGTTCGTCCCGGGCCCGAGGACAGGCGCAGGCTCGGTGCCGGTTGTGGGTAGGGCATCAAGTCCAGCTGTCGTCGCAGGAACATTTGGCACGCCTTCTTTGCCTTTTCCCTTTCCTTTTCCTTTGCCCTTGCCCTTGCCTTGTCTTTCCTCTTCAGTTTCGAAATCGGTGATGTCGTCTCTTGGATCCAGGGCTCTGGTAGTTAATGATAGGCTCGAGAGCCAAACCACCGCTGAGAGCAGCTTCGTCGTTGACATCGTCCAGTACGTATTATACGCCGATTCGGTGTGGATGGGCCAGCCCGATACAATATATGGAACAACCCAGTGTTCGTATTAAAAGCCAGGGTTCAAAATGTTGCCCAGCGCCATGGACAAATTGCACCACTAGGCTTTTGGGTTCTTCCGTGATAGGAACAAACCGACAAAAAGAAATACAAAGAGAACAAGTGCTTATAGGAAAGGGTGACAAACAGTTTTGGGTGTATGATCTCGGCACCAGGTCAGGATGACAGACAGGCCAGAGATCAGGTTCCACGACTCCAAGATTGACGATGGGAGCCGGTTGATGCTGGAGACCTTTAAGAAAGGGAAGGGGACGGGTTGGAGACGAGGAAGAGAGGCTCGCGGAGACCGAATCAAGAAGATAGTGGACGGCTGTCCTGGGTTATGTATATACCTGCCATGTCAGGTGTGGGAAACGCAGCAGAGAGCACCTGGTTCCTTGGATGCGGCACTTGCGGCAGCACTGACATGGGAACGATGTAAAGATTGACGGGCGGTGGCACCTTGGGCCACCTTTGCAGCCACGCACACACGATGTGCGGATACACCACGCACTTAGACATGTACACACACACACACACACACACACTTGGTGCATACTCCGTACAGCGAGGAAGAGTGTGCTTGGAGAGAGACAGGGTAGGGATAAGCTGTACAACCGTGCACCCGCTTGGGAACGACGGCATGTGAATAATCTAGCAAGGGTATTATGGGGCCTTTCCTGGGGGGTGGCCATGATCCGTGATGCAGGATAGGATGTTGAGATCCTTTAGTGTGGTATGCGCGTGTAGGAGGAGGGGGAGGCGAGAAGCTGAGAGCGAGTAAGTGTGTGTGCGTGAGAATGGGAGAGAGAGAGAGAGAGAGAGAGCCAAAGAGAATGATGGTGGTCAGTTGCGGGTTCCTGTGCCTAGTGTGGTGGTGTCTGTGGTCAAGAGAAATCGTCCGTGACGAGTGGGAAGAAACGAACGAACCGAGCTTCACACAACGCATCAGGTTCAAGACAGTGGAGAGGTGGATCTGGGTGGAGCGTTCGGAGGTTGAGTTGTGTGTCGGGGTCCATGAACAAGGGGGGGAGGGGTGAGGACAAGAAGACAAGACGAGACGAGGGCGGCGGAGGCTTGGCTTCTGAGCGGGAGAATTTCTGAGGAGTTGACACTCATGAGAGAGAGAGAGAGAGAGAGAGAGAGAGAGAAGTGAGAGGCCACGAGAGGGAAGACAGGCACTCAGGAACAGGAACAGGGGTGGGCAGAGGAAAGGAAAAGAGGGGTGTGTGAGTGTCTGTGTCTAGTGTGCATGGCATCCTGCGGTACCTGAGCGTCTGCGGGTAGCCATTGGAGGACGTTGTGGTGTTTCTAAATTTTGACTTGGCTGGATGGGACTGGCTAGACTGGCATACGCGGTGTTGCTGTTGGTGTCGGTGGTGGGTGGTGGGTGGTGGGTGCTTGGTGCTTGGTGCTGATGTCGGTGTACCGACGTTGGCTTTGGTGTTGGTGTTGGTGTTGGATCAGATAGAAGGATAGGTGAGCGACGTGGAAGAAGACCTGAGAGAGGATCATGGCGGGATCGGGAGAAGGCTGGGAATAGCAACATGGAAGGACAGACTTGGACCTTCCAGTCTTCCTCCCCTTAGTCTCTTAGGTCAGGCACGGAAGCTTACCTTACGTCAGGTAAAGTCCGGTCAGGTACGGCACACACACACATTCTTTCACTCTCTCACACACATTCTGTATACACTACACGCAGAAGACAAGGTCCAGGGACTGTATCGGCCATCAGGGCAACTTGTGTCTGTTGTTTCTTGATATTTCCGTCTGCAATCGATTGGTTGCACAAGGACCTTCGGGATGCCGATGACGAGAACGAGGTGGGATGGCAGAAGGGAAAGAATAGATAGAGTCTGTGTTCGAAACAAACGCCCGAGGATGAGCTAAATTGACAACCCATTGAGGACCAGCATCGAAAATCAACGACACATGAACATGGATGCAGCGCAGCTGTCACCATCGCCGGATCACAACGGGTGGAGGAGTCGGAGTCGGAACCGGGACAGAGTCGGAGAGAGAGAGAAAGAGAGAGAGAGGAGGAAAGACAGGGCTTGTTTGTCGGGTCGACCAAGACACCGACCGATCCTCTCGGAGCTTTTTCTCTCCTCGTACACTTACAGGCACCCGGGCAGCCTAAACAGCCTCATCTTAATTACTCTGACCAGTGGTTTGTTTCGACGTCCAGACAACATGGGGGGACACTGAGCAGGCTTAATGTGATGCTGCCCAAGCTGGGTTCCCAGAGAGCGGATTGTGTGGTCTAGATGGTGCCATGTGGTTCTGCGCTGATTTCTGACCACAGGTTCGTGGCCGTTTACCTTATGGGGAGGGGGGCTCTTCTAGGACCCAGCCATGCACAAGGGTTAAGGAGGACCCAGGAACACACCAGGGCTTGTGGAATGGTGTTGAAACGGAAGGGCGAATGAGCATCGAGAAGCCCTCTCTTCCTCCAGGCTGAGCTAAAGCAGAGCCACGATAAGCAGAGGCAGGCTGGGTTAATGGTCAAGTTTGGAACGGTTGGTTTGTAAGTGAGAGCATGATCGTCCTTCCCCCCTCTTCCTCCATCTCCACAACCTCCACAGAGGAAACATTGAGGATAGACAACTGCCTAGTCGGCAAGCTGCAGACAGGCTATTGAAAGGAACGAAGGAAAAGAAACCATACTGGGTATGGGATCAGGTGCCCTGGCTGCTGTGCACTGTGATGTAGCTGGGATCGTAATGGGCTTCAGGATTGAGTGAGACCGTCCCTCTGTCCCTACCTACCCCATTCCGTCGAGGTGCAGCACGGAAAAGTTCAGACCCCGGCAGCAACGTGAAAAGATAGATCTCATGCAGATTCCATTACGCAGGCACCTGGGCTAGGACGGGGGAGGGGACAGAGAGAGGCTGGAGAGAGGGGGAGAGGAGGGGGAAGAGGAGAAGCAGGGCCTGCAAAATACAAAATGCAACGTACAACGACCGTCCAGCACGCATCTCGCAGCAAAGCAACCACATCGACGTCCATCTCGAGTCTTGTTGGATCCCCATCCTGCTGCGGGTGTTGCTCGGTCCGGAGATGGGAGGACTCGAATGCTTCTAATTTGGGCGTTTGGTAGCACTTTTGAAACTCAAATGTGCAGACACATTACACACCCCATCTCTTTTGCCTGGCGAAGTTTTAACGGCGGAAATAAACGGCAGATAATTACCTATTCAGCCCAAGCCGGAATCCCGAGTCTTTGCAACATTGAATCTTTGGAACAGAGTCATGCTCGGTTCCATCGTGAAGCCAAGGAACCTTGCCACGCTTTCCTACGTATCCTCAACTAATACATAAACAAGGTACCTGGGTATTCGTAGATGGGTGCCGTGGACGAGGGACACGGACGCGGTTGCAGAGCACTACACTACACTAGAACAAGCCTCATTTTGGTCACAAACAGAAAGAAAAGAAAGGAAGAAAGCGGGAGGCCCTTGCCGACTGTTGGTGCAAGTGCCAAGTCCACCGCGTCTAAAACAACTCAAGTCATGAGGTAAGGATATGTGGGCAGGCAAGCCGCAAGGTGAGAGGTGAGGTAAGGCGAGGTATCCGTAGGTAAGAAAAGGTAGGGTTGGGTAAGGTGAAGTTAGCCATCCCGGTGAGGTGAGCCTTGAGGAGACGGGAGGAAGACTCAAGGAGGGGGGGGAGAGCGTTGACCGATGGGTACGTCCCGTCCCTTAGTAATAGTCAGGTACGTACTCTGAAGTGCTCCACTCGATCTGGACGTCTCCTCCTCCTCCTCCTCCTCCTCCTCCTCCTCTCATCCCGTCTTCTTCCGCCGCCAAGCACCCTCGACTACAACACCAAGTATCTTGACCTCAAGCCATCAGTCAAGCGTCAATCAACTCACACATCAACGCCTACTCACGTGTCGCAGTCACCGTTCCAAGTCCACCACAGACCTTATCCTCAACCTTTCAATGACCCGTCACCCGTCACCACTGACTATATGTATTTTCGGACACCTAAACGTCCGGTCCGGTACGACGAAGAACGGCCGAGCCAAAGTCTGCGAACACGTACCTGTCGCACGCTACCTCAGGACTCGTGGTGCTGCGCCTGTTCTTGACCAAGAGCCAGCCAGACCAGTTCAAAGTACAGACCAATTCGTCCTAGCCACCTACCGTCCGCTAAGGTGCTTGGTGGGCAAAGGTGAAGCTCGGTGGACAGGCTAGATGCCACTCGGCGCACAGTTCCCGACTGCAACAGCAACTGCAACTGCAACTGCAACCCGACTCTACATGCCCTCAAGTGCAAGTGCAACCGCCTTGGCCTCTGCCACGCTCGCTCCAGTGCTGTCTATGTACACTATCCGTGGACCGTGTGTTGGCATTCAACTTTCAAGGTCGGATACGGATGGAACGGTGATGGCATCTCAGAGCTCAATCCACAGATCCCCTCTGCGGCCCTTCACTCGCTTCCATGCAAGCAATTTGTCCATCGCCCGGGGGGCCTTGTCGGGATCCCCGCATCCTTGCAGCGCGTAGGCCGCACCACCGGTCAGGCCTGTCGCAAGCTCGCAGCCATCTGACGAGACACAACATCGATGACAGCTCGTGCCGTGCTGCTTTTGCCCGCAATAGGTACCGCGCAGCCACCCAGCCATCTTGCCGGCTCTCTCTGCTATCTTGAGAATCTCTGGCTGCACATGTGCTGCGCTTGCCCTGCAATGCATTGAACTGGCATGCATGGCTCTGCCCATCGTCCGCGATGGCCCATATCTCAGCCCGTGGTCGTGCTACAGAACCTCAAAATCGGCGGGCACTGGTAGCGGGGCCCGGAGCTACAGCTGCTCCATCGTGAACTATTCTGGAAACGAAGCCGGCCGAGAGCCAGGGCCGAGTTGGCTTTCCGAACGAATCTTCACACCAGAATTTTGTGACCGGTCATCTCTGGCGCCGGCCGCTTCAAACTTGGGACGCCCAAGTCAACGTAGCCCAGGTCCCCCACGTCTGGTACCCGAAGCGGTGAGCGAGTCAAGGAGCCCTGCTGGCTTGCCATCGCCACACCACGCCAGCCGACGACACTAGACGCCAGGCCAGTAAAACAGCACCACACTCGAGGTGTCGCCCGAAAGTTGGGCCTAGAATCGGGATGCCCTAGGATGGTGATGGGATGGCAGTCATCATTGATAACTGTGGAATGTACCACTCTCAGCAAAACGCGGCCGTTTCGCCGTACCGGCTCAATGGACACCCGAATCGTCCTTCCTTCAGCTTCAACCTGCCGTTACCCCTTAGTATTCTGGTAAGGGCGTTTTCCACCCCAGCTCGGTCTGTGGTCTGCCTTGGCCAGGCCGGGAGAGTTGAGTGGCAGCAGAGTATCCGTAGGAAAAAGGAACACCACATCGCGGGGAAATCAGCACTACCCAGCGACACACATCACAGTCCAATTAGACATGCCGTCCTCACTCAAAGGAGCTGCGCTGAAACGACCCGCCACTGTTCGTCGTGGTTGTCAGTGATTGGCCAAGCGCTATCGCTATCAGGCCTCCTCATCGGGTCTCCTGCAAGGGGCGAGATGGATTGAAGGCGGGCGTTCACAAAGAAACTTGAACTTGGAATTGAGAACCTCTAGTGCAGATTGAGCCTTGAATAATCCTGGCCTACTGCGGACGACGTCTCGATCGAGTAACTATCCGCACCTGGCCGCGCACTGCTTTCTCCCCTTTCCCAGTTTCCCGGACCTGTCCTCCAGCGACCAGTGGATTCAACGGTCTACACGGCACTCTGGCGTGCCAGAGCGAGCAAGAACTCGGGTCGGTGACATCTAGTGGCAAATGAGCGACGAAACGTAAACAACGAGCAAGTTCATCGTCATCTTGCCGAGTATTCATTCTGTTTGGGTGATATTACTCAATCCTCTTTTGGCAATAACCTACCGCTACTAGCTATTTTCGAAATGAGACTTGGCCGTATCTGCGAGCCTTGAGTGACAGAGCATGCCTCAATGGGCCAGAACCTCGGCGACAGGGCTCATTTCTGGTCTGATATTGGGCGTCACACTTGGCGGCAAACAACCAGGCCGGTTTCTGCGATACTTCCATCAACAGCACATAAGGTACAGTCTGCGACCAATACCGCGCTTCCCAAAGTACAGGAAGCTGGAGACGTTAAGCAGTGTGGAGGAAAATACGGCACAGTCCTCGGAGCCTACCCGTTGAGACTCGGAGTATTTTCCGTTCAGGAAAACGACAATGATCCAAACGGAGCTAGCTTGTTTGTCTCGCCTCTCGAAAGTCGAGTCGAGACGGACCAGGGCCGATCCGTCTTTGATCACCAGGATCCTGCGGTACAAGCAAGCAAGGGAGCCCAGGAACAACCTCGTATGCCGCTTTAATAGATATCAAGCCATGTCAAAAGCGCGTTTGACCCAATCCCCAGCTTTACGAATATTCTGGTGATGGTGTTCAGAGTCGTTCCTGACCGAGACACCGCAGGATGGTGCTGGGCGGCAGAGGCGCTCACATATCAAAGTGCATCATTCTTGGCCAGGTCTCTACAGCGCTTTCTTCTTCCTCATCCTCTCTGATGATTTCTCGTTGTCTCATCACACCAGTCTTGCCTCTTAGACTCTTGCACGCAGCACACTTGTAACCGTACCTATGTTCTTCCCAACTCCCACCATCTTTACCCCTGGTACCTTGCATACCGAGATGCAGCCCGCACTGACTGGCACACAGACCTCAAGACCTTGACCATGATCCGTCCCCACCGCATCTTCCCGCAGGTTAGATGGAGTAGAGGGATTGGCTGGTTTTGCGCCGTTGGCCGTTGGTGTTGCGGTTTTTTCTTCTTCGTCTGTTCCTTCTGTCGATGTCCCCTTGCGATGAGTGGGCGCTCGTGATGCTGTCGAGTCTGGAAGAAACAAGCCCACTCTTTGACACCATACTATCGTACATTAGCACACACACACACACACACACACACACACACACACACACAACAGTATGGAGGGCCAGGTGATGAGGTTCATCAAGCCATGCACTGTCAGGAGAGAAAGCCACCGCTCAGAACGGAGTGGTGAGGTGCGTCGTATGCAAAGTGCCCCACAAACGCCACAACAGCAGACCAGTCAACAGTGTGATAGTCGTTCCTGTCCTCTCCAAATCGAGCCGCCCGGCGGCAACAGGGTGGTGTCGACGCTGATGCAATGACTCTACTTACCCATTGAGCCCTGGGGTGGCGTTGAGGGAGCATAACGAACCCGTCAAAAGCAGGCCTGTTGGGTACGGTGAACGGGAGTGAGCTATGATCGTTAGACAGTCAAGGTCATTGCTGGAACAAGGCTAATTATTACTTGGGACCTTCGGCCGAAACTATTCAAAGTCTAGCATTCCTGGTGTTCGCGGGCCATGCCGCTTATACTCCAGCTTCAACCTCACCGCCTACCTAGCGCGCATCACGCAGTTGCCGCCGTTGATGGCCTTCAGTTCGCCAAGATCGCATCCTGATGGTCGCAGACTCCATGGAGTTTTTAGTGGCCTTTTCTACCCCTCCTGTGCTCAGAGGGAGATCGAACCCGAGCCCTATCCTACTCCGAGTTATCGCAGTCCGTCAAACCCGACAACGCGTTACTGTTCTGCAGGCCGGACTGAATCGAGCGTGGTTCAGTTGCTTGACAGCGGGATATTTCCAGCCCGACCCAGGCCAAGTCTAGACTCCATTAGAACAAGTTTCGAATACATTCAACGTCAGTGGTCTTCTTCGCGCCTGGTGTCACCTCGCCCACACCAGCCAAGGAATCTACCCCTCCTCCCGCGACAAAGTGGTTAATACCCCCGTCAGCCTTTTATCGATAAACCACAAACGCCATCGAAAACCACCCCTCTTCGATGATCCCCTCGTGCCCCTCTCCGTTGTCAGGTTTCATCCGGCCGCCCTCGCAGCCATCGAGGAATGTGCAGGCTGGTGAAGAAACAGGCATTATGCCTTCTTAGTCGCAATGTGTCACACATGGGAAGCCAGCCCTTTCCGCCCGAGCCCTGTGTGTTTTTTGTCCAGCGAGACGAGAAATTTGGTACGGACGATGGCAAGCCGCGGATTCATATCGAGGATAACAGACTGGCCGAGACCACGATGCTGGAGGCGGCATCCCAATATTGCCCAAGCAGTGTGCGGATTTGCTCTCTGGTTTCCCAGGGCAGCCGCCTACGAGCCCCCAACGGCCCAGGCATGCGAATGATGGGCATTTGAGTGCTTATCCAGGCCAAACCCAGCCATGTCGGCTGCCGCCAGACGGATACCTGACAACTGTCACTGCAGACAAAAGGCCGTTGTGCTGTAATCCTTCCATGTCTTTCATCAGCCAAGGCCAACCACCAACCGCCGATGGCCGAGAAGCTCTCTCAGCAAGCCGTCACGTCAGGCCTCATCCATGCTTGATCGACGCTGCTTGACTTGATCAGCCTCTGCCCTGTGGGGTACCTAGATCCGTAGCGGTTTCTCGCCGCGCTGGAGTACTCTTGAACCACCAGATCCTGGAGTCTTAGGATCCACAGCCACGCCGGAGAGGTTGAAGATTTGGAGACTCGGAGGCCGGCGGCTGTTCGTTTGTCGACCGATCCTCGTCAATATGAGGAGCCCTTGACGCCATTGTCAAACCGCACTAACACCAGGCCCGCTACTCAGCACCAGCACCAAGCTACCAGCAACAGCACCGGCGCCAGAACCTGCCAGGTACCAGGAACAGCACCTTGAAGCCCGTCTTTAGCGGACTTTGGAGCCATCGGCTGACCATTTTACGGCTTGGAGGGTGGATAGGCCAACGATGATGGTGTGCAGCAACGCCAATTCACCGCTCTTTCACCGGGGCTCGATTCGTTGTCGTCGTCTCTAACTTCATCTTATTTGCTTTCTCCCTGCGTTAGTTCCCCCCTCACCTGGTCGTCATCGTGGTCCGGCCCTGTTAGGAAGGGGAGATGCTGCAGAGTTACTGCAAGGGACCGGACATATCTTGGTTTTCTGTCCGACGGATCGCTACCGCCTAACACTACGGAGTACTGATCCATCACGACTTTGACGACACATGGCCGGGCGTGCCGAGATACCAGATATTTGGCCGCGGATGAATGATTCTAAAAGTCTTCGGTTTGCTGCGTTGCAGTTTAGACCAGCGCTGTGACCCCTCTTGACCCCTCTCCCGGCGCAACACAATGACTTGCAGCGATACAGGGCCTTGCAGGGGGCGCAGTGCATCTACGGATAGATGTTCTCCAGTAAAGCTCACATTACGGAGGTGCGTCTCAATAGTCCTTGCAGTTGCTGCCAAGACCAACCCCTGCCATAGACAGGGGAGTCGACAAGGGGCTGGCTAGGGTGTGTACAAGCGGCAGAATTCGGCCACTTCCACCCACTGTAATTATCGTCAATTCAGCGGTAAAAAGTCGTCAATTGAGGTCAATTAGTGGTCGTTTGACGGTATAATCCAGCCCGACGACCCTCTTTGTATTCATTGCCGCCCTCTAGGGCAATTATCTGTTGGATGTGGTGAGGTACCCTTTCTATCCATTTCTGGATCTCCTCTTGCGGTAATGCTTTCCAGCACTCTTGCCAGCGACGTACTGCTTCGGCCCGTGACGAAGGCGCCCCCTTCCTGGTGGTCCATCTCTTCATCCACGGCCAGCAAGGTTCAATGGGATTGAGGTCGGGCGAATTACCCGGCCAGAGAAGCTTCGTAATCTCGAAAAGGCTGTACGTATAGTGGGTGAAGTGATGGTCGTGAGCGGGTGCCTTGTCCTCTTGTACGATTGGATTACCAGGTAATCCTTTGATATAAGGGAATAATTTGGGTAATAGGATCTCTTTGCGGTATCTGTACCAGTCAATTCCGCCCTTGCCGTTCCGTATTAACTTGCCCGACTTCGCATTCCAATTGAATTGGGGCTTACGGCCCGGTTGGTTCCGTAAGCCCATTCGCTCCATACCACTCTCGAGCTCCCACTGTTGACGTCGAACGGGCTCGAGCTCTGCGTTAAGCTCGGTAATCACTGCGTCGGCAGCCTTCCTCTCAGCAGCAGTCTCGGGAATCCAACAGTGGCACGGCCCTTTCGAATCGTATGAGAAAGACCCCCAAAACATGAATTCGGAATAACCCTTCCACCTCTCTCGTATGCACTGCCTAGAGTAGGCCTCGTCTGGGCGACGCCAGAGCTTATAGCTACCGCGGCGGTGGTTGAGGGCAACCGCGGTCTCGTCTGACCATACAACCCGCTTCCAATCGTCGAGGGTCCAGTATTGGTGGTCGAGGCACCACTTAAGTCGCTCTTGCCGCATCCTTTTCGTTAAGCCTGGCTTGCGGGTTGGTTTGGTCTTGTGGAAGCCATAGCGACGAAGGATTCGCCAAACAGTCATTGCAGATACGTCAACGCCCTCGTCCCTTAATAGGTCCCCAGCAATATCAGTACAGTTCTTTTCACGCCCATACCGGTCGCGGCAGACCTTGCGGATGACGGCATCGTTGACCTCTTTCGTCTGTTTGGTTGGACGGCCACTTCGGGGGGCATCTTCGTAATGGGCGGGCTCAATCGAGAAGGTAGGAGCAGTTGGGTCGAATCCGTTCTTTTTTGCGCGGGCAAGAACGTCGTAAACAGTTCGAACTGGAATTTCTAGAGCCTGAGAGACCTGTTCAGCAGTCCACCCAACAAGTCGACTTCGTAGAGCAAGAATCACTGCCCTGACGCCTGGATCTAGCTTCTTCTTTGTCGGCATCTCAGGATCCATACTGAGGAAAAAAGAGCAGCGTAGTAAGTAGCGATTTGGCGGTTTTGATATTATCGTAGGATTAGTGGTAGTATCGTAATGGCGGTGTATGGGGTAAAATCGTTGCTATGGGCAGTGCTGGGGGGAAAGTAAGTAAAGTGGGTCAAGATCAATCCCTAGGCTCTTATTGGTTCAGATGGGCAGTAATTGTGGGTCTGGGGCTTGGCAGCGACTGCAAGGACTATTGAGACGCACCTCCGTACATCGAGCCTCATTTTGAGATCGACATGACGCAGGGAAAAGATTGAGGATCCAGATATCATCGTCTATTCCTGCCAGGGCTCGCAACGCGGTTGAGAAACACGTGTGGGTTTAGCAAAACCTCCCCAAACCCTATTTTCGGCGCCGTATTAGTTCTAAGACGATCTGCTCGGTAGATAGCCAGGATGCTCCCTGTAGCACGGGCCTCGTGGAATACCTACCGAACGTGTCCATGAAAGACAATGTTGAGGCGACAAACCATTCCTGCCATCGCCGACGCCATTGACCGGCAACTCTGCCTCAACTCCAAAGAGTCTAGAAACACGATTGACTGTTCACCGCTTCTTTTTACAGTGTTCGACGACGATAGCTCGATCATGAATACGAACCCCCGGGCTGGGTCTCACTGATCGCGAAAAGCACGTGCAGCACGGCGCTTGCAACGGCGCAACTCACGGACTCTCGTCTCTCTGTGAATTCCTCTCTTGAGTCGATTATCACGGGCCGTCCGCGTGGTTTGGCGATCACTCTCCCGAGGCCATCGCCGGCGTGGCGGCAGATCCGGCGTTTCCGATCTTGTCCACGTGCCTTTAACTGAACGACTGCACTCTTCTAGCCTTCAAACCACGACGCTTCCAAAGGGTGACAGCACGCCTGCCAGTTGCCATTAGGAAGTCACCGCACGATGGAATTTGCTCAAGCGGTCAAAAGCTAAGCTATTCACCTTACATAATTGAACGGCACATACTATTTTGGTCTCGGTGCTTCATCATCCTACAACGGCCGGAAGCCAGCTAGTACGCGCACAGCGACCGACGGGTCAATGCTTGCCGCCCTGCAACGTCCTTCACCGCCGGTGAGAGACCTGATTGCAGCTTGTCTCACAAAAAAAAGGTGCCAGCCATGTCTCTCTTGTGATCTGGATCTGATAGTACCCCGTGCCCGGCGGGCTGAGGAGCAGGCGCCTCGGGGAGGCGGTCGATCTAACGTGGGCGGGTTCTACATGTGAGATGTAATGTCTCAGTCGAACTTCTGCAGGAGGCATTGGGGCTCAAGATTTGCCTGACTCGGCAAACCGTATGGGAGTAGTACTCTGGTACGGGTGAATCGTCTTACCCCCGTCGCTGACTCGGGAAGAGATGATCACCGCGATTGCTGATCAAGCCTGTCCTCTTTGCTGATGAATGACGATGCGAATGAAAGGCTATGGATCCTGCAGACTGTAGTAGCCAGTGTGCGTTATACTAAGCACAAACGAACATGGCGGTAAGATTGTTCTCATCTGACTGCCCGCACACAAGGGCTGAAGAGTTCTATTCGCTGGTTCTTCATCCGTATGTCTCCGGGTGCCACGCTGTCAAGCAGCCTGGTGTGCTTGCCCCCAAGGAGTATGCTGGCGCATGCTCTCGATGATCTTGAGTGTATGCAGCTCGACACAGCAGAGACAGCAATGTACCTCGCTTTCGCTGTTAATTTCTCGGCTGCAGATGATGCTCTAATAGAATGTGTCGTTCGGGTCGTTGAGAGTCCGGCCGAGAGCTCACAGAGGGAAGAATTCAAGATTCTGTCACATCCGTGTATGCCGCGTTCTTACATGTGGTTTCTCATCGCTTGCGCTTGATCATCGAAGTAACTCAGCGCCGACAGCACCCAAAGTTCGATCTGAAAACACAGGTGGCTCTTTAGCAGACTTTTAGCCAAGTCTTCAGATGAGGCTGTGAAGTAACTCTTCAAGCAGGATTATCCTCGAGGATCCAACAGCTTGCTCAAAGATCCCAGACGACGCTTGTAGCCTTCCTTGGCACGGCAACTAGAAGATGGCATCGCGGATCTCCGCGAAATCTTCTACAGCCCTGAATCGCTGTCAACCGCGGATCAGAGTCGAGGCAGCATCATCTCTGAGTCCCACCGGTGATCAGAAATGAACAGGCCATTCCGCTACAAGGCCAGTTGATGCCGGTAGAAAACAAGATTAACTTAGACTACCTACTATCCCTACCAGACTAGCCACCACATTCAGGACCTTCAGCTCCTGTCTTTGACTTTCTGTCAAGACTGAAAATTTTTATTCGGAGTACGTTGGTCCGATGCACGGAGGGTATAATGAGATCCATATCACTCTCCCAACGACGCCCGCAATGATCGACCAGAAGAAACCATAAGGAAATATTTCTATAGTCCGAGCATCAAACGGGGAGAGCACACGGCATCGTTGTTTCTCCATGCTTCATGCTTGTCCGTCGCTGGTATTTAGACGTCCCTCGGGAGAACTTTGGCTCGATTTTACCTTCATCCAAAACAGCAACCTGTGTAATAGAGCAGAGGCTTAAGGCTGCATGACGGATGCTAAGACTCCGCCCCTCAGACAATCCATTGTCATCTGAAAAAAGAGTCCTCTTTGCGCGGACCTTTATTGCACTGCTCCCTCTGCGGCGCCTACCAGCCCGGATAATCCTGGATCCAGGACACTTTTGTGTCAGTCTGACTTCGGACAGACTCCACGAATGATCAAAAAGGGATGAAAAGGGAACAAAAGCTTGTAGGCTGTACCCGCACAGAGAAGGCCAAAGAAAATTGTTACCTAGCGGTTCGAAACGAAGGTCTCGACGTGAGGTCTGGTCCTTGGGAGTTGTTTCATATCCTGCGGCACACAGCCGCACACGCCAGTGTACTGACAATCGTCCCAACGACCGCAGCAGAGAATCTGGGATGGGCGAAGAAATGTCCTTGCGTAGATGACAGCAGAACATTGATCGCTGGGGCTTTTGTGGTAGAATCTCGGAAAGGAAGGACGATGAGTGATGTGACGTCGGGTCCCGTCAGCTGTCTATCGAACTTGCTCTTTCTGCCACCCCCATCCGGGTAGTGATGTTGCCGGAAATCGGGGGGGGGGGGGAGCTGTTTGTGTATCGCCCCGGCGTCGGGTTGCTTGTCAAAATTGTTCAGCTGAGGGTTAATCTCTCTTTCCCAGGTTGAAACCAGATAGACTCTCCCACGCCTGTGTGGTTTAAGGTTATGCTAGCATCGTGGGATCTTTGCTGACAGGAAAGAGAAGGAAAGAAAAAGAGCTGACTGAGTTTCGTTTGAAGTCCAAACCTATAATTGTCGGGGACTTCGCCTTTTGGGACGTTTCGTAGAGCCACCCCCACCTAGATACCCAACCAACGTTGCTTCACAACGCAATGAAGCCCGTCATTTCATGGTGTGTGTGTGTGTGGCTTAGGATATGCAAACACACAGGGCATTCCCCAGGTCTGTAATGACTTGGAGGAGGAGGGTATGGGGAACGGGAGCGGGTAGTTGAGTTGAGTTTTTCTGAGAGCGTACACGACGAGAATAGTAAAGAACTTCCCTACCGTGTGTTTGACTGAGAGAAATTGGGCTGATCTTTTTTTCTCCCCTTCCTGCAAGATTCCCTTCCCAGCAGTCCGCGCGCTTGCGTATTGTGTACGTGCGCTGTTAAAGAGTTGAGAGAGAGACGTGTTTTAATTCCCGGTAAAACTCGTGGCATGCCTGCGAGGGCTTTGCCGTTTCTTGATTCTGTCTGAGAAAACATCCTCACTGAGCTTCGCGAAAACGAGCAACCATGGGCTGGGCGTGTATGGGGTATTGGATGTTGTTCATCGACATTGAGGAGTAATCCTCTTCAGCTTCAAGCTAGGTTGAGAGATGACGGCGATTCCCCTGATATCTAAAAATGGGGGAAAGGAAACACACATGAAAGGGACTGGCATTGCCATGTTAGTCCCGAGGGCAGAAGAAACCATCATGGCCACATGCTCTCAACCCCTTCCCGCCTTCATACGGGGCAAAGTCGCCGGGCAACGGGTCCCGGGAGACGAACGTTCTATGGAGCAGGAGCGAGGTGTCGGCCGAAAGTGGGCTCCTCTTCGTGATTTCTCGCTGGTGCATGTGTCAAAGTCTGAGCGGGTGTTTTGGCAGTCTCTTTGCCTATTCTTGGCGCTCCGCATTCTGGGCGCACAAAGAGAACCGAGCTCTCTCTTTACACACGGTTCAGTCTTGAGGTTTTTCCCCCTCCCCTGTGAGACAACTCTCGAGAAGCCTAGTCACTGAGCGACCCCGTCCCCGGTGGGAGGCGGTGCGAGTAGGATGTTTACCTGTTATCCACCTCTTTCTGCCTTCGTTTCAGTACTTGAACATAGGGATGGTCCAAGAAGCCGCCCCGTTTCCTGTGAATCAAACGCCGAAGCTTGGAAGAGGTGGATGTTCCGGCCGTAGACGTGCCTCGTTTGTTTCGATACCGAGGAAGAGTGAGCTTGTAACAGAGCCGGAGGAGGGCCGGGGAGTCGGGCGTTTCGGCGCTTGAGCGGTTCATTCGGCAAGCTTCTCCTTCTATTGGCGCCTTCCTTGCTTGGCTGGATCAGCGGGAACTCGGAGGATGAGATCCGAGGTGTAAGTTGCTTGGAGGTGGACTTTTGTTTGAAGGTGGACTTTGTGTGAAAAGTAACAGCACTGTAAGTGTCTATTGGGATATTGAGATGCGGAGATAAAGCTGTATCAGCGAGACTCGGCCGAGGAAGGGATGAATTATTGTAGCAGTACTCATTCATTGAGTTCAACTCAGGAATGCTTGGATGGATTGACTTAGACGATGGAAAGCTGAAACCTTCCGTAGATGTAGCTTTTCAGGATTGGATGTTAGGAGCAAGCTGAAGGCCGCTATCGGCTTACACAGAGTTATCATTATGATTCGCTCTTACTACCAGGTGATATGATCGACTAGTTCATGCTGGCAGCTGACCATAAGGCAGCGGTCTTAAGATAGCGGTTTTGATATCGTGCATTAACATCCTCTTCGCGGCCCTGGGCAAGCCAGGGATTTCCGCAATGAGGAAGTGAAACTAAGAGAAAGCAATAAAAAATTGGTCTTCCTTTCGCGTCGCCTGGAGGCAGTGTAATACCAGGGACACAGTGGGAAAACGACATGTGTGCTCTCTCCCCCGATGAGACCCATACCTCCTTTTTTCGCGGAGCCACGCCGAAACGTAAGCGCCACGACAAGGAGAGCGAGCAACGCCGCAAGCCTCAGGAGAGTGAGAGGAACACAGAGGCTCGTCTGCCCGATTTTGGAAAAAAATTTGTGTTAACCGTTGAAGACAGGTTCGCGATCCCCGTGGGGATGCTTGCCCAGTTGGTTAGACTGGTAAGAACAGATACTACACTTGATCATAGCCTTGGGCTAAGAGAGCTGAAGAAGAAAAGGAAAAAAAAAAGATGGTTGGAGAAATTGAACGTATGGGTCTTTTTATAGATGGATGAGAGGTTGTGGATATGGTCGAAGGCGGCGGCGCTGGTGAGGCCAAACTCTGATGACTCGAATGAGGCCAATCTCGGTGAGGCCAATCTATGGCAGTGCCAAGTGAGGCCAAATTAGCCTGGCTTAGAGTCTCAGGCAGCAGTTACTAGACCACCTCTAGGGATATTGCTTGTGACTAGTATGCGCCAGGTGTTTCCCGTCTCTAGATCAACTCGTGTCCAAATTGCCGGCGCGTCAGTTGATACCTCACTGGCGATCAGTATCTGCCAGAGCGATAGACACTAGCGGCTGTCTACTAGAAGTAACTTTCACCGAAATGTGATATCACTTAATAGTTATTCATAGATTCATTATATCGAAGGATCATGTCGCTCAGAACGAAGGTATGCTCAATACAACCAAGGCGACGAAATATGACAAACACGCCTCTATGATTCAGCGTCCCCAGGAGAGATATTGCGGCCTCGGGATCTTCCCATGTCATTACCATGTCTGGTAATACATGCAACATATATCTGTGGACTCATTTTGAGTGAGTGAGGCCAATTAATTGAGGCCAAAGTGGCTTGACTCTGTCGCTAGGCCTCTTTATCAATCTACTATCTTCTGGAACACATGGAACAAACTTGCTCCTGCACAGGATGACAAATTTTTCGCATATAATAAGGAGTGGATAATAGGCAGGCAGTCTCAGAGCTTTGTCAAGAATGAGTCGGCTCGAAGTAGACCGAAACTAAGAGAAGGAAATGCCAATTTCTACATCTAGACGGCGGTTTGGAGTGGTAGCTGTTGCGCATATAATACTTTTCTATGACTAAACCCGGAATTATGAGAGTGGTAGAGATTGCTTGGGACCAATGAATTGGAGAAGAATGACCGAAAAACTTTGGTAGGAGGTAAATGAGGAATCGTTGAGTTGTAGAAGTGTATGGCCCCTTCTCTCGAGCTACGCAAACAGCAAAAAGTTGTACGAAATTATTTACATGAGGCGCATTGCAGTTCCAACTTATGGAACAAATTGATTTAATATGAGAACTACTTGGTACATAGGTATGCAATAACTTGACTGATACTCACAAGAAGTGCCCCATATCCGTGAGATGGACTCGGAGCTTGCCAAGGGCGCCGGAGCTTGATAGACGGGACGTTGAAGATTGAAGATAATTGTGGGACCCCGAAGTGCCCCGGGCCCGGGCGCCTGGGCCACCACAACACGCTGGACGGTGCGCTAAATCACTGACGCGTGACGCCATTCGATCGTACCGAGCTCCAAATCACTTTGTCGCGCTCCGTCGCTCGACCCATGTAACTTAAAGTGTCGCCCGCAATTTTACTCACCCCTCCAATCGTTGTTTGTACGTGGGATTGGCATTGGACTCGAACTCTATGTTTTCCTAAGGATCAGTGTGTATTCTCAAGTTCGATTCACCACCTCCTCTCCCTATGAATCTATGTCTTCCTACAGACCGTTCCCGCCCTCAGACGCGTCGCGTCAACGATCGGGAATTTTGACGCCCAGTTCCGATGGATCTCTGAACTCCAAACATGAGCTGCCGCCGCCCGCGACGGCGCAGAGGAAGCGCAGTGTTTCGCATGCTATGGAAGACTTGCTCAAGGCTGCCATTGTTCTCAAGGTAGGTTTCCGACTTGTCTAGGCATCACCGCGGTGTCCGTCAATGGCTGACGCGTTGTATAGGTGCATCCTACCAGCACTGTCACGAAGCCATGCACGCTGCAGCCGCTTATGCTGCTCCCCCGAGAAGACCTTCCGCTGTCCAGCCTCGACCTCTTTTCACCCCACGGCGATCTTTCCTCTAGTCGCCTTTACGAGTCCCTAGTCAAGATCCTCGACCTCGAAGACCGAGTCGCCGAGAGGCCGAGCCTGCTCCTTGCGCGCAACGAAGCCTCCAAGTCGGTCTATGCGCTCGAACGCGCTACAACTGGAACGAATCTCTACACAGTCTGCAAGCTTGGCTCGTGGGTGGATTTGCTTGCCTTGTCTGAGAAGGCTACAGTGGTCGGCAAGCATGTAGCGCGCATGCGGCTTGCAGAGGAATCGAGAGAATCTCAGCAAGGGCAGGCTATGCCATTGACGACGCCGGCCTTGCACAGAGGACACAAGGAGAAGAGGCTGGCGATCGAGGCGCTGCAGCAGTCTATTGTGAGAAAGAGGGGCCGCTCGCAATCCGTGTCGACATTTGACGAGAGGGCAGAGAAACGGACGAGGTCTGACGATGACGCTTCACGACCGCAAACGCCGAGCGGGTTGGTTCAGACGGTCGAGCTGAAGCCTGAGCCGACTGAGTGGATTGAAACACATCTAGACGCAGTTGAACCGACACCACAGCCCGTTCCCGAGCCTACTACTCAGCAGACTGCTGGCGACATCATGGATACCATCAGGACGCAGTATACCGAGGCACTTTACAAGTCAATGGTTGGTTCATTATCTCGTCTTGCGAGAAAGAGTTTTAGCTGACACGAAGATATAGGGATCTCTCGCGTATTTTGCCAAGGGGCCGCTATCTCGAGCCCGTGCCGCTTTTTATCTCGACTGTGACGGCACGATGGATATGAATGACCTCATAGAGTTTCTCAAGAGTCTTGTCATGACAACGGTTCAAATCGACAAAAAGTACCGCGAAGCAATACCCGATCTAATTTCGAAAATGAAGACACACATTGATAGTTCCGATGAAGGCAGTAAGTCGAAGCGAAGGAAGATCAAGAAAATGAAGATGGGCAAGGATGGCATGTACTCTGGCGAAGACGAGCATGTGCGTGCCTGGTGGAACTCGAACAAGCCGGAATTCAGTGATGAGGATATGACCGTCACACCGGCACAGATCAAGTCTCATGTTTCCCTCTTGAGAACCCGCGAAACGCAGTTGCAGATGATTTTGATTTTGGAAATCCTGGCCCTGGAGCCTCTGCGTACAGCCGAGGCCGAGGGGATAAGCCAGCTGCCTGGTCATTCGGGTGAGGGTGATGGGGAGAAGGCAGCAGAAGCTCAAGCGAAGAAGCGCAGCAGACACAACTTCCCCGTCTTGGTGGACGTCCATGCCGATCGGCTCACCATCTGGCAGTCCACTGCTTCTGATGAGTTGAGGCTGCTTGAGGGCTCTCAAATCACGGCGGCAAACGGCGGAGATCCAGCCCTGAGGGCGTCTGCGGACCCCCTAAAGGACTTCTGTACTGACATTATTATGCCTTTGTAAGTTTGCACTCATCGTAGCGGTTCTCCTCAGCTAACAATTCCAGCTTCGCCGCTCGGTTGCCTGAGATCTGCGACTCCATCAGCCGTAAACTCGGCGGACCCGTCATCATTGCTCCGCCAAAACCCAAGGCGAAGCCGTCTTTGAGCAAAATCAACACGAAGCCAGGAGCTGCTGCGAAGCGTCCTTCAAAGCCTTCATCGAAGAACAACATAGAAAAAGCTCTTTTCAAGGAGCAGTCGCGGCGCAGTATTTCTAGAGGCCCCAGTAACGCCATTGCGTTATTGAGATCTGCAACTTCGGCCAATATTTCTGGCTTCAAGCGTGAGAACAGCGAGCTCGATCGCAAATCGCCCATGGACCGGACGGGTCTACTCTCCAGGAGTCAAAGTATGACGGCCTTGGACGACGTCAAGGTCCAAGACGTCAAGGCACAGAAGAAGGCGCTGGTGGAAGCCGAGTTGAAGGATGCCATCACGGCCATTCGGAAACCTAATCGTGACCTGGCGGGCAAGGCCATCGTTGAGGATGCGGCGAAGCGGGTTTCCGGGGGTCTTTCGTCGATTAAGAGTAAGTCATGTCTTCGCTCCTCAATTTGGTTGGCGTTGTGCTAATCCGTACAGAATCCAAGAAACCGCCAACCCGACATCCATTATTTGAATCGGTACAAGTAAAGGTCACGCCTGCCACACATCGCTTCCGTGATGCCCTGAGCGCAGAGTCACAGGGCACAAGTAATTTGTTCATTCCGATGTCGAGTATCCCGCCATCAAGCGCATCGAGAGTCCCCTCTACGGGACCACGGAGGGGCCATATTGATGTTATGGGTAGCACTCCATCATCTGCTATACAGGCGACGCCTATCAAGCGTGGAGGGCACGAGGCCGGGATCCCGCCTTCATCGCCCTTGATGGCAAGGAAGCCTGCGAGAACCCAGTATTTGAGCGTACCAGGAAGCGTGATCAGGACGAGACCTGAGCCTATGCGGTCACCATCACCAGACATTGGCCTGCCGGCGACGCCATGCAAACAACGGACGGTGGACGTGTTGGGAGACGAGGTGGCGGTTACTCCGATGCGCAGATCATCACTTGCGCTGCCCCCACCGCCAGAAGAGGAAAAACCAAAGTCGATTTACACACGACTTGGGTGGGATGACGACTTTGACGACTTTTAATGATATTTTGTGCGCTGCATTGATATGGCGTGTATGGACTTTCAAGCATACGAATGGATACCCAAGGGTTTGAACTGTTTGGGGTCATGGAATGGGACACGTGGAATACACTTGATGAATATGGCATAGCATAGCATCTTTGGAGCCAAGGGGTTTACACCTGGGACTGCGTCGTTCTTGAACGTCTTTTGGTGGGAATTTACTAGAGGTTAGAGAGCGTAGGGCTGTTTATCAACACCCAAACACTCGTTGCACTCACTCGTCCGTCTTTTGCTCCTCTGTTGCTACCGCTGCCGCTGCCGCTGCCGCTGCCGCTGCCACTACCTCTGCCACTGGTCGCTTTTCTACAAACATGATGGGAAGTTCCCTGACGTCCACGTGCTCTTGCGAACTCAAATCAATTACTCTCACGGCCTCGATATTGACGAGACCCTCTTTCAGGGGCAGGAATTTGAGTTCCACAACGTGACACGCCCCGGGCACAAGCGGTCCAACTCTCGTGTCGGCAGTGAGGCAAACAACCTCGGTAGCATCAACCACCGAGTTATGCTGCATAGCGTGCAGAACATTCTCGTCCAGCACCGCATCCGCGAGCTCTTTTGAGTCCGCAGCCGTCTTGCCTTTCCCGCTCGTCGAGGGAGGGCGCATGAGCCGGACCTCGTTGCGTCGACGTTTCGAGAGAGCCACGAGGGCGAGCTTGCGTGGCGTCACGGCGGGGTTGACCTTTTCGACGCTGCGGTTCACGACGTAGACTGTCCAGGAGAACTCCTCGCCCGCGTAGATGGGCTCCGTGGGGCCGCAGAAGGTCATGGTGATGCCCAGTTCCGGGAGGGGCGCCTCGACGGTGCGGGTGGCGGCCTCCAGCGCGGGGAGGGAATCTGGGCGCATGACTGCCGGGGCGACGAGAGATTGGGCTGCCTCGATGCCGGAGATGGAGAGCTGGGAGGGGCGGTGGGAGCGCTGGATGGGTTGCATTGGTTGCATTGCTGCGTTGAAGCCCGGGTTGACGGGGAGGGTGAAGTCGAGGGTGGTGGTCCATGTCATGCTGAGGCGCGGGCAGCAGATACCGGGGTTTTTCTGTACGATGGCTTCGATGTGAATGTCCAGATCGCGGTTGGGGTTCTTGGAGGGGAGGTCGAGCTGTTGCGGCGACAGGCGGTAGAGGAACGTGACGTGGTCGTGAGAGACGCATGTCATGGGCAGTGTGAGGCCCGCCGGGGAGCTGAGATCGTCTACGACGCCGCCGTCGGCCACGGAGAGGGCTATGCTGGTGAGGTCGATGGGGCAGTCGAAGTACGGGGTGAAGTCCACCTCCAGGAGAGCGATGAGGGCCGGCGAGGTGGGCATGGTGTTTGGGCGGGAGAAGCGGACGCGGGTGTGCACGGCGGGGAAAATACGCGTCCGGAGCTGGGAGAGGCAGCGGAGAGGCCGAGACGTGTCTTTGGCTTGGGTCACGGGGGCGACGCGGGAGACGCGGAGGGCAGAGAGACGCGGGACTACGCCGCCGAGGCCCGGGTCACTGGTGAAGGGTTCGAGGAGGTTTAGGCCCGAGGGCATGCCGGACTGGAGGTAGCCGGCGCCGCCGTTCATGCGGAAGTTGGGGGAGAGAGGGGTGGCTGAACCGGAACCCGCCGCGGAGGCTGGTCTGAGGCCGGCGGAGGCCGTGAAGGTTGCAAAAGGGCCTTGCAGGCGGATGCGTGGCCGCGCGAGGAAGACGGGGAGCTTCCAGACGGCGTAGATGTGTGGCTCCTTCTTTCGCCTGTCTATAGGGGCGACGGCGTTCTCGTCCTTTTCGTTGGAGTCTGAGGCGGAGTCTTCGTCTTCGGGTTCGTCGACAACGATGAACGGGTCCGAGGTGTCCTCGACGGTTCCCTGGAAGATGATGTCCGTCGAGGGCTTTTCCCGATCCGAGGCGTGGCTGTTGACGATTTGGGCTTCTACTGAGACGACCAAGCGACTGAAATGGGAGCGTAGCGCCTTTTCGTCCATGAGAGGGGCTCTCAGGACGAGTAGCACGTCAACCGTCTCATCTATTGATTGTTAGATTATCGAAACATGGATATGCAAAGGTAGAAGGAATACCAAAGAACAGTGTATCCCTCCGCTTGATGGAATCAAAGAGCGCTTTAGTGTCGTCAACGCCTTGAAACGCTTTCTCAAGGTCCAGATTTGTTGCTTCGGGGATGAAGTATGTAAGAAATGCATTCTCAATGAACTCGGACACCGCGGCGGGCTCCCGGATTTGATCGTCTATAGCCATGCTGGGCTATGTTTGTGGTATCAAATGTGAGAGCTCATCTCAACCATCCATGTGTATAGATAGGTTGGATGGACAGTTTCACAACGGTGTCCTTCTGTTTGCCAAATCAAGGGAACTTATACCAAACGCTGAGCGAGCTTACGACGTTTCTCCCGGAGATGGATCTTGAACCTGAAGTTGGGTTCGGTGACGAGAGAAGAGATAATCGCAAGAAAGCGTTCAGAGTCCGAGTTAGTACCTGCGGTATGAGAGAGGTTCGGTGAGAGGTCCAATGAGTTGAGTCGCACGTAGGACAGTGAGAGGTTGAGTGTCTCTAACACAGTGTGGAAGCTTTCCCCTGGCTGCCAGCTGGCTTGCGTGCTTACTTAAGGTTGAAAGTTGCCGTAAGGTTAGAATGGAACCGGTACCACCGAGCTACCCCGGTCCGTGCACTAAGCGCCAAATTGCTCATTCCGTCCGTCGCAAATATTCGAAGCATCTCTTCGCGTTCCCCTCCGCGCGACGACCTGTTCGATTCTCCACGTTGACACGCCCTACAAAGCGTCTACGCATAGCCGCTTTGCTTACAGTCGACTTGAAAAGTCCTCGAGTACACTTTGCCATCTACAAAATTCCCCAATCGATAGGCGCCATCACTATGAACGGATCCGGCAGCCCATATGGCCAGCCTCCGGCGTGGCAGGAGCATCGCACGCCAGACGGCCGAGCCTACTACTACAATGCGGCAACCAAGGTTACGCAATGGACCAAGCCCGAGGATATGATGACTGGGGCCGAAGTACGTGAGCTCCCTTGGACGAGTAAGGTTAGCTGCTAATTGGTCACAGAGAGCCCTTGCGAACCAGCCATGGAAGGAGTACACTGCGGAGGGCGGTCGCAAGTACTGGTATAATACCGAGACGAAGTCGAGCTCCTGGGAGATGCCCGAGGCCTACAAGAAAGCTCTGGGTGCCAACAGCGGCCCGAGTACGCCTGCGTACGTGGACATCTCGATCCAGTGCCATTCGTCAACTAACAGCAATAGGGCTGCGCCATACGATCGAGGAGCGCCTTCCGACAGGTACAACAATGACCGTTACGATTCCTACCGCGACCACCGCGATACCTTCCACGAGTCGCGCCAGCTGACATTCGGCAACGACGCGACGGCCAAGGCCTTCGTGCCCGCCAGTAACGAGCCCGAATTCGCCACGCAGGAAGAAGCAGAGGCCGCCTTCACTAAGCTCCTCAAACGCAGCGGCGTTCAGACGGACTGGACCTGGGAGCAGACCCTGCGAACCATCGCAAAGGACCCTCAGTACAGGGCTATCAAGGACCCCAAGGATCGAAAAGCAGCTTTTGAGAAGTACTGCCATGACATGATTGTCCAAGACAAAGAGCGCGCAAAGGAGAGACTGACCAAGTTGCGTACTGACTTCGAGACTATGCTTAAGCGCCATCCGGAGATCAAGCACTACACCCGATGGAAGACTGCGCGCCCCATGATCGAGGGCGAGACCATCTTTAGGTCCACCGATAACGAGGCCGAGCGTCGTCAACTCTTTGAGGAGTACAGAGTGGATCTCAAGAAGAACCACATGGAGAACCAAGCCAGTATGCGCAAGACGGCCATGGATGGGCTCATTGACCTCCTCCCGAAGCTCAACCTGGAGCCCTACACGCGCTGGTCCGATGCGCACAGCCTCATTTCATCCACGACGCCCTTCCAAAATGATGAGAAGTACAAGACCCTGAGCAAATTTGACATTCTGATTGCGTTTCAAAATCATATGAAGGCTTTGGAGCGCGCTTTCAACGACTCCAAACAGGAGCAGAAGAACAAAAAGTTCCGCAAGGAGCGTAAGGCTCGTGATGGCTTCATCTCCCTCCTCACTGAGCTCAGGAAAGATGGCAAGATTAATGCCAGCACGAAGTGGCGCCAAATCTACTCCCTCATCGAGGACGACGAACGTTACAAGGCTATTCTTGGCCAAGGTGGCTCAGCTCCCCAGGAACTTTTCTGGGACCTCGTCGAAGAAGAGGAGAAATCCATGCGTGGCGCCAGGAACGATGTGTACGATGTCATTGACGTAAGTTGACCATGATCTCGTATTGCTGTTCTGGTGTGCTAATATTATATAGGACGAGCGATTTGATATCACTCCCCAGACCACGTTCGAAGAATTCCATGCCGTTATGAAGAAGAGTCGACGAACTGCTAACATTGACCGTGATATCTTGATGGTTCTTTTCGAACGTGTAAGTCAAAGATGGAAATGAAACTTGAGATTTTGGCGAAAGCTGACGTGTGCGCAACAGGCCAAGGAAAAGAGATCTCTGAAGAGATCCGACGATGAGAGACAGTCTGAACGCCAACAGCGAAGGGCGGCTGATGATCTCCGGGCCTACATGAAACGTATGGATCCCCCTATTACGCTGGATGACACGTACGAGAAGGTCAAGGTTCGCCTTGCGGATACGCCCGCGTTCCAGGCTGTCACATCGGAAGACGCTCGCGTCGCTACCTTCGACCGATACGCGAGGAGACTCCGCGAGAAAGAAGAAGAGGCCGACCGCGATCGCCGCCGCAGACGTGGCCGCGATTCCAGCGAACGCGACATGTACCGTGAGAGACCCAGATCCAGAGGTGAGCGATCTCATCGCAGCAGTGGCCGTGCTACCAGGCGAAGCCGTAGCCCGGAGGTAGACGCCTACGAGGCGGACAGGCGAAAAGCTATTGCTGAGCGTGAGCGCAACCACCGCAAGTCAACCATGGCGGAGAGTCTGCTCTCGACCGAACGTGAACGCCGTTTGTCTCCTCCCCCGCGTCGCGAGCGGGAACGCGAAAGGGACAGAGACCGCGAGCGCGATCGCGACCGTGATTACGACCGTCATCGCTCTCGCCGCGACGATGACAGTCACTATGATCGCGAGAGAAGGGATAGAGAGGAAGAGCGGGAGAGGCTGTACCGGCGCCGCATAGGATCTTATGACGAGCTCCCTTATGGGGATGAGCGCCCGTCTGGATCCCGCCGCCGTCGCGAGGAGGACGAGGAGGACCGACGGGATTCCAGGGACTCAAAGGTACGACGGATCAGCCAGTTCACGGTCATTGAGCCAGGTCGCTGACAATGCTGCAGAGAGTGAGAAGAGAGAAAACACCCCGTGAGCGCACCCCCCAACGTGATACTACACGTCACAAGAACAGGACTCCGCCGCCGGCACCCGCTGCCCCCAAGGACGTCAAGGAAACCAAGGAAAAGGAGCCTGTCAAGGACGTTGCGATGAAGGATAAGGAGGACGTGGCGGTCCACTCTGGATCTGAAGAGGGTGAGATCGAGGAGGATTAGAGACCGACATTTGGCCTACGAAGCTCCGGGACCCTTGACGGACCGCGAAGAGTGACCTTCGAGTACGTATCGGAATCACCAGCCGTCACTGAGAGCCTGATGACCGCAGCGCATACAGACCTATCGGTATCGTTCCTTCCGCATCGCGGCCGGCCTCCTACGCGCCTGTCCACAGGTTTTGACCCTCACGGTCAATTGGCCTGTGGATCATCGAGTTATACATCGTTGGGTTCGTTACTTTCCCAGAGAGGAATTCTTCTAGCTAGTATGTATTTTTCTTTCTTCGTTTCATCCTCACCGTAGGTGCGTATATTCTTGTCAAAGTAGTCATTGTTGAAGCAATTACAATAAAAAAGAAAAAGATCCAAGTCGCTTTCGCCCTGATTCTCTACTGTCTTTCAGATTGTCTGCTCCATGGGGACATTTACTAGTGTGTTATGATTAGATGACGGGATATGATGCTTGTCTAGAGCTGTGTGGGCAAAATCTCGCAACGTGGCAGGCAATTTCGTGAGTGTGACCGGCTTGATATCATCCCAAGTTGGGCTACACATGTACAGGTGCTTCTATCCTTCAATTGGGTTCGCAGAATACGGCACCAGAAGAACGCCGAGCTGGCAACAGACAGTCGCGGTGTTACGAGGATGACATGAAAACTTCGATACAAAGGGACCTAAGCGACCAAGTCAATCACAACACTGAACCTCGCAACACTAAACCTCACAACCCTTGGAGCGGGCAGCGAGACCAATGCCGAGGCAACAGCCGCAGGACAACCCCGAATCGAAACCAAAGCCACTGACAGATGTGGAGCGGTATATCGCAAGTGATTTTACTTTAATAACAACGGTCTTGTTTTTTTGTATTGCTTCACGTTTGTGCTCAAGATACGTGCCTTTTGGCATGCTCAACCATATCTACGAAAGTCTCTATCCACAAAGCGTGGCAGAGACTGACGGCAGTCATCCTGCTTCGTCCGTTGCCCCTCAATCTATGGAGTTCCGGCTGTGTCCCAAATGAATGTGCAGCCAACAACAAAAAAACCTTGTGGCTCTGCAAAGCGTCCTTCACACATCCAAACCCAGGGGACTCAGTCAAACACACCCAATGTGTTTTATCTCCATAGGACCAGGCAACGGGGGATAGACTGCCGTCGCCGTTGTTATCCGTCGCCATCGGCGTCGTCCTCAGACGCGCTCGCCTCCTCTAAACCGAAACCATGATCCTGACCGCCGGAAGCGCGCCTCCCCGGTTGCCGCTTATGCCCCTTTTGAACGCCCTTAACGCCTGAGTCGAATGCATCGTGACGAGGGAAAACATCTTTATAGATGCCCTCTTTAACTCGTCTTGTCGCCGTCGTCCAGGAAGAACTGCAAATCGTATTAGTCTCTCTGGTGAGGTTAAGGTGGCATATAGGTGTAAAACTTACGTAGTTGCCGTTGGCCTTCTGCTCCTGGTCGAGCTGGGAGTTGCCCTTGTTGATACGAGGGCGGTAGTTGGTGGGGTCGCGACGGAAGGAGACGTCGAGGTTCTTCAAGAAAGTGTTGCAGCCGGTCAGGAGAGACTCGGGCTTGTTGGCATGAGCGTCGATACCGGGCTTTCCGTCAAAGACGATGACGCGGTCAGCGAGGTAGGTGGCCATGATGAAATCGTGCTCGACGATGAAGGCGGTCTTCTTGGCGTGCATGATGAAGCGCTTGATGACGCGGGAGGCAATGATACGCTGCTCGGAGTCGAGGTAGGCAGAGGGCTCGTCGATGAGGTAGATATCGGCGGGAATACCGAGGGCGAGGACAATGGCGACACGCTGAAGTTCACCACCGGACAAGTTCTTGACCTCCTGATCAATGAAATCATCGAGCTTCAGGGGCTTGACGACATCGGTCTGGAACTGGGGCGACAGGAAGGAGGCTCTGATCTTCTTGAAGAAGAGCTGGCGAACGGTACCCTCAAACTTGGGGGTGATGGTCTGGGGCTTCATGCTGATCTTCATCTCGGGGACGGCAGCCTTGGTGTCGGGCTTGAGAGCGCCAGCGAGGAGACGGCAGAAGGTGGTCTTTCCGGTTCCGTTCTCTCCCATCATGACAATGATCTCGGAGTCGGTGAAGTCACCAGACTCGATGCTGAGCTTGAAGTTACCCATGGACTTCTGCATTTTGGGGTACTTGAAGGCACGAGACTTGTCGTTCATGAACTCATCAGCGCCCTCGGAGAGCTTGAAGGTCAGGGACTCGTCGCGGAAACGCAAGTTCTCGGTAGGGATGTGACCGTCGAGGAAAATATTGATACCTTCGCGGACGGACTGCGGCAGGGTGACAACACCGTAGACGGCGGGGCGGCCGTAAAGGACACAGATGAAGTCGGAGAGGTAATCCAGGACTGACAAATCGTGCTCGACGACGATGACGTAGTCGTCGTCGCGGAGCAGAGAGCGAATGATACGAGCGGCAGCCAGTCTCTGCTTGACATCGAGGTAGGAAGACGGCTCGTCGAACATGTAGACATCGGCCTTGCGGACACAGACGGTACCAATAGCGAAACGTTGCAGCTCTCCACCAGACAGGTGGTTGATCTCACGATCCATGATGTGGTTGAGCTCCAAAGTATCGCAAACCTCCTTCTTGTTTCCCAAACTGCTCACAGCATCGATCAAGGCCTTGACACTCTTCTGGGGGCCCTTGACAGCGCGAGGGATCTGGTCGACATACTGAGGCTTGACGACGGCCTTGAGGTCATCCTCAAGAAGCTTCGTGAAGTAGTCTTGAGAGTAGTGAGTTAGTATCTGAAGAACAAATTGTCCTATATGAGGGATGGCTTACTCTGAAGCTCGGAGCCACGGAAGTACTTGATGACGTCCTCCCAGTCGGGGGGGTTGTCGTAGCGACCCAGGTTGGGCTTGAGCTTTCCACTGAGAATCTTCAGGGCGGTACTCTTTCCGATACCGTTCGTTCCAACGAGACCCAAAACATTGCCAGGACGGGGCATAGGAAGACGATGAAGCTTGAAGCTGTTGGCAGAGTAGCGGTGGGTGACCTGGCTCTCAAGGTTCGTGGGCAAGTTGATGATGGTAATGGCGCTAAAAGGGCACTTCTTGGGGCAGATACCACAACCGATGCATAGTGACTCGGAGAGGAAGGCGATGCGGGACTCGGGAGTGACTTCGATGCAGAGCTTTCCAGAGCGAACAACGGGACAGGCCTTCTTGCATTCTTGGCGACACTTCTTGGGCTTGCACTTGTCGCTGTTGACAATAGCGACACGGGTGAGTTTGTCAGACATGGTGATGGTGGTGCCCGACGGATCGAGGCGGGGTTGGCGATGGGATGGTGGGGCAAGATTTTTTGCGCAGGTTCGAAAAAATCAAAAAATAGATAGGTTAAGAGGGGGGGACTTCTGCAGGCGGTTGGAGTGATTCAGAGTCTGCGGATGATATCGGATAGAGGCAGAGAACCTGGAAAGCAACAGGACCGGAGAAACGGCGAGTATTGTCGAGGCGTCGCGACCTGGCCTTCTTGGGTGAGGAAGGGAAAAGAATTTGGTGTTTGTTGCAAAGGTGGCAGAGATGAGAAGGAAACGCACGGCTATGGCAGCGAAATACAGCGGTCAGCTAATTTGTGTGCGCCGTCACTGGTTGTGAGTGTGTGAATTGGCCAAGTTTTGGCGGGGCATTTCCCCTACCCTACCGCCTTCTAACTACCCCGCCAGTGAGGGTTACCAGGTGTTTTGTGTGTCACTTTGTGTTCACGCACCAGGCTAAAAGTACCTGGTAACTACTTCCAGAGCACCTGACATCACGGTCTTTGTGAGGCCAAACACAAGGCCTGGAACATCCCCTGCAGATGAATGTGCTGGTGACAAAATTGGCTGGAAACATAGGTACGCCTGTGCACAACTTTGCAAGAAGGCTGACCCCATGTTTATTTTCCATTCCGAAGGTTGGTTGACGGATCGCACCGAGGCCGTTTGTCTCCGCTTCATTACTTGCCAGAAGGGTTTCTTTTTGGTCTAAAGAGATGTGGATTACTGCATTTCATACCTACTGTCATCCAACAAAAATCCCCTTTGGGATAGACACAGACTTGGATAAGGTCCGCGCTGTCCCTTGCTATGGTAAGTCATTTGCCATGTTTTCCACCAGAGGCTATTTCCCTCATTAGACACACTTCTAGATGAATGTGTTGGGTGTCAAGGAGTCGTTTTCAGGCGGCTAGTCTCAAGGCTTCTGTCCAGAAACCAGACAACGGCAAGCTCCAGGGACGCATTGAGGCGTAAGGATATCGTAAAGAATGACCAACCCCATCGTTTGAATGCTTGAAATACAAACAGCCTCTGCTGATCTGCCTATGCTGTCCGCACCTTGACAGTACGGTTGCTAGACTCTCACGTGACTCCGTCTTGAGAATGTCGTGACAGATGTACCTGAGTATCCCATGCCCCCTTTTGCTTCAGTACTCTCAATTCCAAGGTGGCAGACCTTTGTGTGGTACCTTAGCTGAGCTTGCTGTATATATATCCAACGACATATCATCTAGAATCAAGCTTCGATGAACGGCAGACAGTGGGAGTATTTGAGACCGGTTGTACAACGCACGAGAGAGCGGCTAGAGCCTTGCTAGGCAGACCGAAAACTAAGGTACAAAACGACAAGCGGTGCGAAATAATCTTGCATAAGGTAACATGTGCTTTGCTCGGCTTCAGTGCAAAAGAAGGTACGGTCTAGTCTATGAGTCGAAATGGTTGACTTCAGACCAAAAGGTCACAAACATTCGTGGAATCAAGCCCAGCGTAAAGTAGGATCTGTTACCTTCCTCGAGAGTACGAGTCCTAAGATAATTTTAATTGCCATCCATCACAGACAAACATGGAATTATTGCACGCCTTCATACTCGGAATTGCAACAATAAGATAACCATCGGAGACCGTTATCGCGGCCCTAGATGTTACCGGAGTTGCGTCGTCCAAAGTGGGGAAGAACGACGGGAGTGGTGAGGTGTGGGAGTGCCAGCGGGGTTCCGAGTCTCGGTGAACTCATGGGAACTGCCTGCCCGCCCGCGACGGCGTGTTCAACCTCTGAGGCTGGGAGCCCCATAAATTTACTCTTCTCCCATTCGTCCATTCACCTTGACCTCCACGAACCAGATAGGTCCCCAAGAGGGCTGATCGTGCCTCAGGCAAAAAACGACCGACTCTTTTGGGGGGTGATTCAGTGCGGATAGCGCTACAACCACCTGTACCTCACCCGTGCATCCACCTCAATTCTTTCCTGCCTCTCCACCAGTACATTTTCCATCCACCACCACCCATCACCCACCAGGCCTACGGACTACCTAGGCACGTCACTTTCTATAACCTCCTTCACTACAATACCTTTTCTGATCAAGATCAATGGTATTAGCTGCCTGGAGGCCATTCGTTAATGACTTGTAAGTTATTACCTCTAACTGGACTTGTACAAGCCTTCCAAGGGCCAGTCACTTTCCCGTCACGAGCCATCAAGCCAGCCTTGTAGCGGCGCGCTCCCATCTTGATACCCTCATCTGCCATGACCTGGGCGATCCCTGAGATGCCTCGTGTTGATGGAAACGGACTCACTGAATGGTTCCGATGCCATGGTGACACGTCACGGTACTCTGAATCCGCCTGACTGGCACAATGGCATCGCCATCAACTTTCAGCCTCGTCTCCATCAACCGCGTCCCCGCGATGCGACGAGCTCGAGATCTCTATCAATTCCTAGGTTACTCTCGTGATTCTATGGTGATCTCGGTCGCCAAACCTCACTGATCACGCTCTTTCTACGCTTCTACTCTCAGGCGGTCAGACACTTGGCTAACGTCGTCCCATCCATAGCAGGCAGCCTCGACTTAGACCATCACCATGTCTAGCCCCCTCGAACCCGGTCCCACAAACGGGTATGGGTCGCCGGAGGGCGGTTCTCCCTCCCCCATAGTCGCTGCTGGCCACCAGAGCGATAGTGATCTCTCAGATATGCACGATAATGCCGCACGCCTCGCCTCATCGTCACCGTCGCCGGATCCTAACGACTTGTCCGGCTACATGAATGGCGCACCCGACTTCGCCGAAAGCGAGAGCTCTGGTGATGAGAACAACGCATCTGACGATGCCGACTTCGATATGGACGAGGACGCGGCTTCTGTTGCCCAAAGCGACGGGGCTGGCGACGTCCACTCAGACTCCAATGATTCCCAGCGGCCCACAAAGCGGAAAGCTCCTGCAAGAGAGGATGATTACATTAAGGCAAATCCAGAACTCTACGGGTTGAGAAGAAGTGTATGATTGACGCCCGCTCTGATTGACCACGCCATGAGCTGACTTTGCTTCGTAGTCACGTCCGACACAGCAGCGCCGAATGGTACGTAGGATTCGATGCTTGCTAGACCCTCTCGCTGACATTTTGGAAATGACAGGTCGATTCTTCTGATGAATCCGAGTCTGATGTGGTTCCTACTAACCGAAGAGTGGTGAAAAGAAGACGCGTTGAGACATCGAGACAATGTGAGCATGAACCCTTCTAGCCTCCAAAGTCATCGAATCATCAATTCTGACCTCGCCTAGCTTCTAAACGAGGTACACCCGCGCGACAACCCTCCACGAATTCGGACTCCGACTCTGATAACTACGGTGGTGCGCGCGCGAAAAGTCTGCAAAAGAAGGCACGCCGTCAGCGTGAGGCCCAGCCAAGCGCGCTTCTCGCCGAGAAGCGTTGGTCCAGCAGACGGGCGGCGCAAGTACAACAAGGCGCCTATGAAGAGAGCGACGTCGATGACGAGGACGAGGACTTGCTTACGCCCAACTACTATGCGGCAGATGTTGTTGACGACTCCCCATACATCGACAAAGTCCTCCGGCACAAGTTGAAAGATGGCCTTGAGCTCAGCTGGAGCTCAACCAGAACCGACTTCGAATACTTCGTCAAGTGGCAAGGCAAGTCTCATTTGCACGACACCTGGGGAACAGCAGAGACCCTACGCAACATGCGAGGCTATCGTAGAGTCGAGAACTACTTTAGAACCATCGTGGAACACGAACTCCTGATTCGGTATGGCGAAGACATCCCGCCGGAAACCAAGGAGCAGTTCTTCCTTGATCGTGAACGTGCCGAAGAAGCCCTGGAAGACTTCACGAAGGTGGACAGAGTTGTCGCTGTTCGAGACGGTGATGACGAAACAGAATACCTTGTCAAGTGGAAAGGATGCTACTACGACGAGTGCACGTGGGAAGTTGCGTCTGCCATCAGTGCGGACTTTCAAGACAAGATTGATCAATTCTTGGATCGATCTTCTCGTTCGTGGGTCTCTGATCGGAAAGAGTCAAACCCGGATACTCGAACAAGGATGACCAAGCTTGAATCGCAACCCGACTTCATCCAAAATGGCGAACTGCGCTCATTCCAACTTCGAGGGCTGAACTTTTTGTGTCTCAACTGGACTCGCGCCAACAACGTCATTCTTGCTGATGAAATGGGTCTTGGAAAAACCGTTCAGAGCGTGTCATTCCTCAGCTGGCTTCGCAACGAACGCGAGCAAGAGGGACCTTTCCTCATTGTTGCCCCTCTGAGTGTCATCCCAGCATGGGGCGATACCTTCGACAACTGGTCCCCCGACATGAATTACGTTGTGTATCTCGGCAACGAAGCCTCTCGCAGCACTATTCGTGACAACGAGCTCATGATCAACGGCAACCCCAAAAAGCCAAAGTTCAACGCCCTCATTACTTCGTATGAGATGATTCTCCAAGACTGGCAATTTCTTCAACAGATCAAGTGGCAAGCACTCCTCGTGGACGAGGCACATCGTCTGAAGAACAAGGAGTCTCAATTGTACGCGAGACTGGTGAGCTTCGGCGTACCTTGCAAGATCTTGATTACCGGCACCCCTATCCAGAACAACCTAGCCGAGCTGTCCGCGCTGATGGACTTCCTCAACCCTGGAAAGGTTGTGATCGACGAAGAGCTGGAAGATCTTGCGGGCAACGATACGCAAGAGAAGCTCCAGGACCTCCACAAGTCTATCGCCCCTTATATTTTGCGACGCACAAAAGAGACAGTCGAGTCAGATCTCCCGCCAAAGACAGAGAAGATTATTCGTGTCGAGCTCTCTGATGTTCAGCTGGATTACTACAAGAACATTCTTACGAGGAATTATGCCGCGTTGTCTAGCGCAACCGGCCAGAAGAACTCCTTGTTGAACATCATGATGGAGTTGAAGAAAGTCAGCAACCACCCGTACATGTTTGCGGGTGCCGAAGAGAGAG